GGGGGGTGAGGGGTGGATAAGGGGGAGGAGAGGGAGAGAGGGAGAGAGTAGAGGAAAGTATTTATAAGGGAGAGGGAGAGAGGGAGGTATTCGACCTACTACTCACTCGTATGCTACATCCTCTAAGTCTCGTCTTGGAGTCCATGCTACACATACCATTAACATAATTAACATCCCACTCATCTACAGTCCATATTTCCATATACCGTAGCAATACGGCCATCTCCTCTGACTAACTCCCCTTACCCGGAGTGTTGTGTGATACGATATGTCTCTTCCGGTGCTGCTGGGGTCGGCTGATAGGCTCGATAAGACTTTATTAACGAGTTTATAGACATGGACACCCTCTTATTCACTACTCTCTTACCCGTCCATCCTACCTGCCACATACGACCGTCACACCCCTACCCCCAACCTACCCGTCACCTACCCATCTCCATCTCCATAACCCATCTCCATAGCCCATAGCACAGCATAGTATATAAACACCCACCCTCCCTCCTACGACAACACCCTAGTCCAACTGTCCAACTATAGCCATGCCATGCAAGACCCAAGAACAGGAAAACTCGGGCCTGGGCGGCGTAAGAATAGCCGTCATGTCTGCGTGCGTGACTTGGAGGGAGGAGAATAATATGCGTGGTTGGGGGCTTAGGGACAGAAGATGGCAGAGATGAGGTGGGTATAGTGGGTGGGATGGAAGGGTAGGTGCTAATGTTTGTTATTGTGGGGAGGGGGGTGGTTGTTATTGTGTTGAGGGTGGTGGTTGTTATTGCGTTGAAAGGGGGTGATGTTCATCATTATTATCGTTGTATAGATGGTTCCATATGCGCGTTCGTTTCTCTGGTAGTTGTTAGGGGGTGGGAATTGGGGTTAGGATTAGGGGATTGGATTTGAGGATTGGATTGGGAATTATGGTGCTTTTGTGTGCTGGGTGCTGGGTGCTAGGACTTGTGTGTAGCATATTTTGATGTAGTCTAGTAATGTGTGAAGAGTAGCAGAGACTAGCGAGGTTAACTCTACTCATCTAGTACCCTATTCACTCGTTTGGCCACTTACTAATCCATCCATCTATCCATCCATCTATCCACCCACCTACCCGACAATTCATAGCCCCCTAGTCTCTAACCAACCACTTCACACATATATAACCCCCCTCCCACCTTCCCTTCCACCTTCCCTTCCACTACCATCCCCCCCTCTTACCTAACATCGTCTATCATCGACGATGGCCCTCCAATTCAATTCTAACGCTATGTGGCACCCCACAAGCAATAGATCATGCTCTCGTCTCTGCCCTCGCACGTCAGGATGCTATCATTGTTACTTACTTACACGCGGTGACGGAGGTTATCATGCCTCCTATCATGCCTATCATCATCGCTGCTATTATGCTTATTATTATTGATCTCATGCTTATCATCATGGAGAAGGACTGATGCCTATCATTCTTATGAATGATGCTGGCCAGACATCATCTTTCTCGTGCGTATGAATCATAGTGTTTCTGAGTTATGTGAGATGGTAAGTGGTGGGTGTTGGGTGGGTGGGTGTGGCATGTATTGGCGTGGGTTGATTTGGTTTGGTTTGAGCTATTCAACGTGTGGAGTGGTGGGGTATGGTACGTCCAGTTTATTTGACGTGTGAAGAGTAGAGTGTAGTGTAGAGACTGCCGGGTCAGGTCACGTCGTGTCGTGTCGACTCCATCCACCTACCCGTCCATTCACAGCCCTAGCCCTTTAGTCCCTATATATATCTCCCATCCGCTCCTCCCTCTCTTCTCTCCTTACCTCTATCTTTACATCTACTACATCTACTACGTATACTATCTCTACTTCCACATGGCACTCTCAAGCACTGTACACAGAGCACCGCATCACTTCTAATGGCTCTCATACCGTGTGCTGTGCACCTTTACCATGGTGATGATGGTGTTGCCTTGCGTTGTACTGTGCCGTTGTTCAAGCCAGGAGATGAAGCATAGTGTTGTTTATCCACGCGTGCTAGTAGTGATGATAGTCACCACGCAGAGGCACTAATACTCATTATTATCATGATTATTTTCGTGCGCATGTGTGTCAACCACCTGCGTATGCCGCATTGTGTATACTGGATACTTGCTGCTGTGTGTAGGATGATTCATGGTTTGGCTTCCTTTGGTGTGGGCTGTGGCGTTTGTTTTATCTTACTTTTGGTCTAGAAGTCTTAGTATGTAGAGTACGTGAGGAGTAGAGTGCCGGGTCATGTCGCGTTGACTCTACGTTCTATCCGTCCGTCCACTTACCTACCTACCCTTCCATCCATTCACACCCCTCCAGTCACCTACCCGCCACGCCACACACACACATATGTAACCCCTCCCCTTGCTCTCTCCTCTTTCTCCTCCTTACATCCAGTCCCGATAACACTACAAACCAACATCGGATACGATGTATGCCTGTACGATGATGGTTCATATGTTGTGCTGTGTCGTGCTAGTGTTACGAGGGGTGTTTTAAGCCAAGGCGGAATGCGCGGAATGGTGGTGTGTGGTGGGAGGGATTGTGTGATGATGCTTAGCATCGGACTGGGGTGGTGGTGGTGAGTATTATGTGTGATATATGATGGATGGTTCAATTAAGGGGAGTGGCAGGAATATATCTTGAGATGTGCTGTGTTTGAGAATGAATGAATGCGCCTCTGTCGCACCTAGTAGATTGTGGGGAAAGGGGGAAAACGAATGAACGGCGTCCAAGTGTTCGATCGGTGCGTTTATTAACGGTGACGGTTATATATACACACTCCCCCTGAACAACGGCACTGATAATCACCACGACCTACCCTCCATCTTCACACCCCAGGCCAAGACTAAACTCTCTACCCATCTTGCAATCTCCATCCATCCATCCATCCATCCATCCACCCACCAAGCCTCACCCAAGCCCAAGCCTCACCCCAACCCACGCAACCCCCCCAACACCAACCCCGCAACCCCCTCCCTCTTCAACCCCCCAATCACCTCCACCGCACCAACCCGCACCCTCTCATCCCTACTCCCCCGCCACGCATCCAACAAGTCAACAACAAGACACACATCCCCGTCCTCACGCACCCCGCCCGTACACCGCCTAATCAGCATCTGCGCTACATCAATCCGCATGTAGAGCGCGCGATCGGGGTTGTTGATATCTGGCTTCGACGCCTTCGTGGCAGGGTGGGAGCAGCTGGGCTGGAGCCATGGTTCGAGGGCTTGTTCGGTAGAGAGGGGTGTGCGGGACGGATCATGCGTGGCGATGGCGTGAGCGACAAACGCGTAGTCTGATACGTCAATCTGTTGTGCGGCGCTCTGGACGAGCGGGTACTGGTCCCAGTACTGCGGGTATTCGAGGACGCGGTCGATGAGGCGGACGATCAAGTCTGCGAAGCCGAGCTGGCGCTCCTTGATCGTCTGGTGGGGCCCGGCGAGGCGGTTGATGACCAGCGTGTGGAGTCTCATGGCGAGGGTGGGCGGGAGCAGTTTGGGCGTGCGGTCGGGGTTCGATTTCCAGGCGTCGTCGTTGTCGCGGAGATGCTCGATGAGCGACAGGACTCTGTCTATCCAGGGCCGGCCGTAGGTCCACATCGTGGCTTGCGAGCGTGTTCTTTGGTCTGATCTGCTGTCGTACTGCCAGGGGCAGCTGGTGCCTGAGCCGGCGGCGAGACTGCCGAAGCGCGTCTTGATTCCGCTGGTGAGCATGTTCCACGCCCTGAGGTCTTTGCCGCCATGGTCGAAGATGACGGATTGGGCTTCTTCGAGGGCGAGGTCATACAGACGTTTACACGCGGCGTCGTGCTCGAGACCGTCGTACTTCAAGGACGAGAACAGCGAGCATGGGACCCAAAAGTCGTCTGCTTCCAGCGCGGCGAGCTTCCGGTCGACTAGCGACAGGGCGTGGAGACCTGCAGCGGACTTTCGCACTTTATCGGCGTGCAGCTTGTTGATATCGTCGCGCAGTGCAGACGGGGGCTTGAGATTCAGCATCACAAAGGCATGCTGGCGCTCCACCAGGGAGAACGGCTTCGCGCCCGGCATGGAGAGAGCTTTGCGAAGGATGCCAGGTTTGACCGGGAGGGCAGGGAGCTCTGCAAAAGCCAGGAAGCCAGTGCTCTTAGCAAACATCCTGAGCCAGCGAGCATTATTCTCGCACGACTGCTCGATGACGGGAACGATGATGCGCTGCATGTAGACGTCCCCAAGCCACGAACCAGACGCATCGAAACCGACCAGCAAGTCCAGTATCGGCGGCCTGTTGATGTCGAACCTCTGGCCCTCGGACCACACCGTCGGGAGTTCCAGCCGGTCTTCGGCATCGAGCATCTCCTGATCGGACAACGGCTTCCTCTCGTCCAGGCTTGCCGCAACAGGCACCACCCTCTCCAGCACGTCGAGAATCCGCTCTGCAAACGCGCGGTCGACGACTCCCGTGTTCGCCCTGAGCATGCCGAGCAAGCTCTCCACGATCGCGGTGCGGATGTCGATATGCCTCGCGTCTTCAAACAGGCCACCAAGCAGATCAAGCGCGAATCTCGGGGCAATAAAGTTACTCCGATCGAGCAGCTGCGCCAGGTACTTGACCGTCGTCACCTTGACCGCGGGCGCTTTCTGTGCAGGCTGAGCCTCATCTCCCGTCCCAGCATCGGGCTTGGAGTTACTCTTGCTCTGTAGCGCAAGCTTCTGCCGTATCTCGTCCGCAAACGAGGCCATGAAAGCGCGGACCCGGGACGCCGACATCCTGCGCAGGAATCTGGGCGAGAGGACAAGACGATGCCAAGAGCTCGCGTCCGGATGGTCGAGCACGGCGCGCAAGATCAGGCTCGAGGCCAGCTGCGGCGCGTCGCTCAGAGTCAGCAGGCGAAGGAGCTGATATGCCACTCTCTCGCGCAGATAGATTTTCGAATCGGCCTTGGACATGCTGAGATATTGGCTCCAGGCCGACGACACGAGCTGAGCCAGGAGGCTGGGCGGGACCGCACGTAGACAGCGCAGCTCGGCCAGCGAGTGCAACGCTTTGTCGTGCTCGGTGGTCTTGCCCAGGAAGTCGATGCTGAGGAACAGAGGTGGGAAGCGAGCGTCATCTGGCGATGGAAACGCCGAGGCCAGTACTCTTGGAGATCCCTTCCCCATGGCATCGAGGTACAGCAAAGACACCGCAATCTGAGCCTCGCGCACGAGATGCGCCTTTGCCTTGGTGCCTCTGCTCTCAAACACAGTGGGAAACGAAACCGCAGCCGTGAAGATCTCTGGCGTCAACGACTCCGCGAATATATCGGTGTACCAGAACGCGTTGAGCCGGCCCGCCTCGAGGAAGTAATCGAGATTGACGAGCTCGGTCACAGGTTTACTCTTGGTATCCGCGGGTTTCAGTTCGTTGGGATCCCACTCGTCCTGGACGTTCGGGTCTGCGTCTTCTGGTATCAGGGGGTAGTTGTACGGTCGGGAGACAGGCTCGAAGTCTTCCGTGTCTTTCTGCAGCGCCTCGCACAGCAGCTCTAGTGGTAGGTGCTCCGAGACATAGCCACAAAGACGCAGGAATTCAGCATCAGGCGCGGCTTCGTGGCTGGTAGCAGCGTCATGAGGCCCACGTCGAAAGTTGTCCAGAAGGTGATTGACGGCAGCGGCACAGCGCTCGACTCTGGCGCTCTTGGAAGGTGCTTGGTCGACATATATCTTGAGTGCGATTCCGTATGCATCGATGAAGCACCCAATCGTCTCCTTCAATTCTCTATCCTTGTCGTCATCTCCCGGGGCGCTCGCCATCATGAGAGACGGATCAGCGAACACAATTGACTTTGCTCGGTCCGCAATATACGGCGTGTGACCATCTGCCGCGGGGACTGCGATATCGAACGGTCGGATGAGACACTGCAGTGGCAGTCCCCTTGGCCACGGAGACGGCAGCGCGACGACCGCAGGCGTAATGCTGGCCCGATGCTCACGCCACAGCGCGTCTCGAGCCTTGGCCAGCTCGTCGATGAACGTATATGCTGCAGCAGGGGTATCTCCCAGATCCTGCAAGTCCAGAAAGCGATATCCGACAGAAGCCGGTCCAAACGCCCCGTTGAACTCGAGAGCCTTGTTCGATTCAGCCAAGCCTATCTCCTCCGCCCTGAGAAGTGTACTCAGCGTGCTCTTGAACAATGCATCGTACAACTGCTCGTCTGCAAGGGCCAGACACCTCTTGACATGACAAGCCTGCTTGATCCGTTCCCACGCGACATATTCAAACGTAGCTCTGACAGCCTCCCAATCCCCAGACGAAAAGGACGGTTCACGAATAGCAGAGACCGCCAAATCGAGAAGCTGCATGAGAACCTCATTCGCTTTCGCAGCACTGCTCTTAATCTCAGCCAGAATCAGGGTATGCTCTGCACCCCCCAGATCGAGACTCCCCGTCGAATCGAACGGCAGGCCAGACAGCGTCCTCACAGCTTCAGGCCGGAGCAAGACATCAGCACCAAAGATCGTCTTGGCCGTCAGGGGATCACGCGAGAGCCGCCGCGCCCAAGCCAACGTGTCTCCAAGCAGGGCGATGGACCCGCTTGCAGCGGCGAGCAGAAGCGCAGCCTTTGCCTCGAACGCGCGCACGGGCTGGTCGCGCGCAGCAGAGGCCAACTTACAACGTGCATCAACCAACTCCTTCGCCAACTCGTAGTCTCGGCCGCGGCGCAGGGCGCAGAGGAGGACTTCGCTGTCGACTCGTTGGCAGGCAAGGGGAATCCCCTGGTAGGCGTGGGTGCAGGACTGGTGGATGGTGCCTGGTGGCGGGACGAGGAAGTCCTGCTTGGTGTGGATGTCGGACAGGCGCTTGAGCAGAGGCACGGCATCGGACGGCGGCATGTCTAGGAACATCTTAACGGGCCATCGCGTGGTGGCTAGTTTGGCCAGATCGTCGAGCCGGTGCAAGCTTAGACTTTTGACGGGGTTCTGGAGGAAGAGGGTTTGCAGCAGAGTGTACCTGCGGTCGCGGGGGACTAGTCCGAGCAGTTCGTGATAGCGCGACAGGAGGTCGTGGTCGTTGTTTCGGTTCGTCGTGCGGAGGATGGACGAGAGTCGGGAGTCGAAGTTCTCCGGGTCTTTGCCCCAATGCGTCACGACGTGCCATATCAACGATCCCTTGTCATGGCCCGCGAGCACAAGACAATCCCGCTCCTTGGGATGTATGCTCAGGTAGCGGATGGCGAGATCAATAATGGTGAGCTTTACTTCCGGGCTCAACTTATGAGCCCGCCGCAACAGCGGGGCCAAAACATTCCGGACAAGGCTGAAGCCCGGAGGCAGATCCGAGTCTGACTGCGCAAGCCGTCGGAAGAGGCTGAACAGATAGTACGACGGCCCGCTGAGTCCCGGCACCGGACTCGGTTCATGGGAGCCAGACTCCACAATAGCATCGATATACCGAGCCGGGTCCCGGACGAGTCGTTCCCGGCCGCCGAACAGCGTCTCGTCAATCATCCTCCCAACAACCTCATAGTGGTTATTCAACAACTGCCGCCTCGCAGTCTTATGCAGCAACCCCAGCGCATCCCCATGCGCCCTAAAGTACTGCTCCACAAACTCCGACGTGCAAGCCGCGATCAAGACACGATACTGATGCGTCAGATCGCGCGCGTCCGCCGAACGGATCGGTACATCCCCATAGTACCGCGGATGCAGCGCCTTGAACAGCTCCGTCACAACCACCTGCCTCGCCCGCGCGTCCCCGTCGACAGGACTCATTCGCCCCAGCGCCTTCGCCACGGCCTTGACCTCCACCACCGACATCTCGGCCATGTGCTCGAGGAGGCCGCGCGTGCCGCCGAGCGCAGCCCAGAGCGTGCGCCATTGCCTGCCGCGCCACAGCCTGCCCAGGCTCTTGACGGCAGCGGCCCGGACGGCGGCGGAGAAGCTGGTGGACAGGCATGTGGCGACCAGCGCAGGGGACTGGGTGATGGTGAGCCAGGTGGAGAGGATGGACGGGGCGAGGGCCTGGGACTCGATGGAGCGCAGGAGGTGGGTGGAGACGGCGTCGTCGGACAGGGTGGTGCGGTGCTGGCGGAGGGAGGCGGCGGTTTGGGCGGACGTTAAGCGGCGCAGCTGGGTGTTGTCCATCTTCGTCGTGGAGGCCTGTGATGCGGCTGGTGGATGGGGATGGGGCGGCTTGAGGGGTTCTTATGAGGGAGATGTGGGCTGTGGTGTCGAGGCGTCGATCTCCCGTGTGCGATGCTGGAGCGGGACATCTCGCGGCCTGGGACGCGGTGATGTGGTGTTGCAGCCTGGAGGTGGGTCATGCTAGTCGGCGGGCATAGGAGTGGTAGCGATGAATCCTCTTGCTAGGTGCGTCCGTACTACTGTATGTATGTATGTGGTGAGTGTATACGGACGAGTAGGGTAGAGGTGTCGAGGCGTCCCGCTAGTCTATAAATAGAACACCGCAGAACCACAACACCATTACATCATCCCGGACACCAATCAACCTCAATATCAACATCAACATCACCACCACTACCACCTCTCCCAACCCACCACTCACCCCCCAACACACAATGTCCCCCCAACCCCCCGCAGTCGACATCCTAATCCTCGGCACCAGCTGGACAACAACCTTCCTGACGCCCCTACTCCGCGCCCATAACATAACCCACGCAACAACAAGCACAACCGCCCGCCCAGGCACCCTCCCCTTCCACTTCGTCCCCTCCACCCCCTCCACCGACCAGGACGACGACGAAGTCGGATCCCAAGCCCAATACACCGCCCTCCCCCCCGCAACCCTAATCCTAATCACATTCCCCCTCACCACCGCCTCGCACACCACCCAGCTCACGCGCCACTACACAGCCACCCACCCCAGCGCAACACCGTATTTCGTCCTCCTAGGCAGTACACGCATCTTCACTCCCACGCCTTCTTCTCCGCTGAGCTACGACGCCTCTTCTCCCCGCGCAGTAGCCGAAGACACCCTCCTCGCGCTCTACCCCTCGCGTGCGACGGTGCTCAACCTCGCGGGTTTATACGGCCGTCCGCCTATAGAACCTACTTCGACGACGACGACCACCGCCAGCGGAGAAGAAGAAAGCAGCAGACACAGCGCGCGCGATCCGCGGTCCTGGCTGTCGCGTGTGGCGCCGGGGAAGGAGGCGTTGGGGCGAAAGGGCGCGCTGCATTTGGTGCATGGCGGGGATGTAGCGCGGGGTGTGCTGGGGGTTTGGGGGTGTATTCGCGCGGAGGGTGGTGGTAGTACTACTACAGGGAAGACTGGGGATGGGGAGAGTGGGAAGGATGGGAAGGGTGCAAAGGAACAGATCTGGGGCCGGCGGTGGATAGTCACGGACTTGCACTGGTATGACTGGTGGGAGCTTGCGTTTGCCTGGGGGGACGGACGGCTAGATCACGGGGCGGACGCGGGGAAAGATGGCGACGGAGAGTATAGAGAGTGGGTGATGCAGTTGATGGAGGAGCATGGTGTGCGGGCACTGCCGCGGCCGGTGGAGGTGGTGGGCCGGGTGTTGGATTCGCGGGCGTTTTGGCGGGCTGTTGGGATGGTGCCGGGGCGGGGACATGTGCTTTCTGTTGTTGGGGGGGAGGAGGATTGGTAGGGGTTAGATGGGAGAGGGAGACTCTAGCATGATCCGGCATGATCTATCTAGCATATACGAAATAGAATAGAAACCAACACCACATTCCATCCACGCACAACCACCCTTCCCCCCCCCCCCCAAACCCAGCCCATGTGCCCCCCTAACCACCAACCACACTCACGCCCTCCGCCTCACCCGAATCGTCGCCTTCATCGGCGGCAACACCGTCGGTCCAATCCACGTATTCGCCGGCCGTTCGGGCAGCCGCTCAATCTCATAGTTCATCACCACGTACGCAATGTACATCTTCAGCTCGTGCGTGACGAAGAAGCGGCCGGGACTAAATATCAAAAACACACACACGTACGTTAACACGGCTGCTCTAGGAAACGTGAAAGAGGAGGGAGGGGAGATGAGAGACTCACCAAGCATGCCGCCCATGGCCAAACGGCAAAAACACATCACTCGTACTGACCATACTCAGATTCTTACCCGCCAGCACGTCCGCGCGCCCCCTTTCCCTATCCCCACCACCACCACCACCACCACCACCACCATCCTCACCCCCAAGCCCCCCCGCCCCCTCCCGCACGCGCGAAAAGCGAAACGCATCAAACACATCCGGCCGGGCATAAACCCCAGGATCATGATGCACACTATTAACATCCACAGCCACAAACGCGCCCTGCGGGGCCGTCCAGCCCTCCACCTCATTGCGCACCCCCAGCGGCGCCAAGATCTTGCGCACGACGCCCGTAGTCAGGAAATTGCGTATGCGCATGCTCTCGCGGATGGCGCTGTCGGTGCGCACGAGGCGGTTGAGGCTCTGCTTTGTCCAGATGCCGTCGGGGCAGTCTGTGCGGTAGACGTGGGTGATTTCGTCGGTTATGGTGGCGAGGGTATCGTCGGCGGGGCATGTGGGCGAGGGGGCGAGGATGTCGAAGAGGAGGTTTGTGATTGTGAAGGTTGTGGTGTGGATGGCGGCGAAGTTGAGGGGGGTGAGGTATTGGGCTAGGAGACGCGGGTCGAGCTCCTTTGTGCGGTGCTCGGCGCGGGCGGTGTCGATGTACCACTGGACGAAGTCGTTTGGCTTTTCTGCGTCGGGGTGGTCGGAGGAAGCGAGGGTGGCGAGACGGCGCTTGATAAAGGGGATAGTCCACTTTGTTGTCTTGCGGTAGTGGATGTAGTTGGGCAGACAGACGAGCGGGCCGAGCAGCGGGCGCAGCACGCCCGGACAGAGGTTCATGAGCATGGTGGAGCGGAAGACGGCGTTGGCAAAGGCGCACATGGCGTCCAGCAGCGGCTTTTCGCGGCACAGCGGCAGGCCGAGGAAGACGCGGTTGGACAGCCGCGCAATCACGTCGAGCGCATTCTCGTACACGCAAATCTCCTTCCAGGCTGTCGTGTCGCGGCCCCAGGTGTCGTCAAAGGCCTGGCGGGTCTCGTCCCAGGTGGCGGGTAGGAGGGCTGGTAGTTTGCGGGCGAGGTTCTTGTGGATGACGTGCTCGTGGAAGCATTCCTTGATTAGGATGGGGTTGGGGAAGGTGTAGTCTGCGTTGAGGGACTGGCGGTGGGCCTCGGAGACGCTCGCGACGTCGCTGCGGATTGGGGGGTCAGCGTCAACACATTTAAGAAGGACAAGGTGGACATAATTACTCGGGAAAGTCAAGCAGCCATTTGAGCTGCGCCCTGGGCACGACAATCTCAGGGGTGCCAAACAGCGTGCGATAGACGTAGGAACGGCCTTTTTGGTGGTACTGCAGGGGCAAAACACGGGTCAGTCTGCGGCTCGTTTCTCGTGAATGCTGTGCGACCATGAAGAGACCATGATCAGGATTGCCGTCCTTACATTCGCGTAGCCATCCGCGAGGTACGCTCTCGCATTCCTGAAGCCGTCGAGTCGCAGACGGATGTCGCCAAAGAGACGCACGCCCGGCGGTTTGCCCAGCCATGGCAGCTCGGCGGGAACGGGCGTGGTGGAGGTGAGGAGAGAGTATGCGAGATAGTAGAGGGCGCCAAGCCCCAGGGCGGCCCAGAGGGTAGGGATAGAGAGGGGCAGCTCCATCATCTGGGGACTGACTGGATGGATGGATGGGAAGAGGGAGGGATCTCACGTAACACGACGCAATGGATGGATGCAAGCAAGGGGCGTTAACTCGCAGACGCGCGCTTATTATGGGTGAGATAAATATGTGGGGAGGACTTGGGAGGAGGAGGAGGAGGGGAGGAATTTGAATATTTTGGAAACGAAAGATGGTTATAATTATCAGTCAACCAATTCCGGGCCTTTTAGTTGATTGACTAGTCCGCCGCCGTTCCGGTCCGGTCAACCAATCGACATGAGGGGAGTCCGCACCCGGCGCGCAGTGGTCCGTCCACAGAGTTGCAATGCATCACCCGTTAGTTAGCAACGTCGCAACGTCGCAACGTAGGAACGTAGGAACGTAGTAATATGGCTCCAGCCCGATCGGATACACATACACAGACACATGTACATTGGCCCAACATTGCCCGCCAGTTCAACGGCTTGCTCGAGGTGGTGGTGGTGGTGGTGGTGGTGCTCGAGGCTGCCACAAGCAAGCAAACAATACAACATCCGTGACATGGCTTCCACCTTTCCGAGCCGGGATGTATAGCAACACCGGTGACCGCAGGCTGTGTCGCGTTGTATGTCGTCTCGAGCGACGCGTTCAACGTGTTGCCGTCGAGTCGAGCCAAGAGTCAAGCAGTCAGGCCAGAGTCACGCAGTCAGGCTGCAAGTCACGCAGGCAGGCAGCAAACCAAGTCCAACATGTCCATTTTCTCGGGTAATCTATATAAAGGAGGGTATATTGCCGTCGTAATATCATAAGACGCATTTTAGACATACATGAACGGGGTCAGGCCATTCAGCATCGCGCGCATCGCCTTCCTGCAAACCAATGGATGCGCGCCCGGATATCGTCCAAAAGCATGCCCCCAAAAATTATGCATTTCCAAACATGAACTTCCAACATGCACTGCCAAACATGCACTGCCAAACATGCATTTTTCCAAAATATGCTCTGTCCAAATATGCCCTCCAAACGGTGCAGAATAATTACATTAGTGTGTATTATGGCGCGCGCGCGTGTGCGACGAACGCCTGTCCAGCAGCCTTGGGCAGTCCTAACCAAAACGACTGCCCAAGGAGTTGGGAGGGTAGAATGCAAAACGGTTCCATGTCATGCAGTGTATAGAATGTGTTGGTTTTTTTTTTTTGGAAGCAAGGACAAGAAGCCATCGGGGCTTACATCCAGCCTAGGCCGACACCAATGGCACCAGCAACCCAGGCCTCGATACCTCCGGCGCCTCCCATCAGTCCGCCAGGGCCGTAGCGGGCTGCAGCGCCTGTGCTGCCTGGATCGTACATTGTGATTGTGGGTGTGTACTCGGTCGTGGGACTCGGCGTCGTGACTTGTGTGGGCGGCTGAGGAGGAGTGCTTGTTTCGGGGGGTGGAGGAAGAGGAGGAGAGTCTGAAGTTGGAGGAGGAGGAGGGGATGAAGGAGGTGTAGGAGGACTCGACGACGGCGCGATGCTCGAAGGAGACGCAGGTGGGGGAGGTGGGGGGTTCGATGATGGAGTGGGGGATACTGCAACCGATGAGTCAGGAGTGAAAGGCGGATTTGAAGATGGCGGTGCTGGAGGATTCGGCGAGGGCACCGTACTTGGAGTTTGGATGGCAGACTCCCTCGAATAGGCAGTGGTAGTCTGCCTCTCAATAGTGGCGGTTCTGGTCAAAACGTTTTGGAGGTTCTGAGTGACATCTCCAGTCACGGTCGGGACGCTGCGGATGGGGTCGCAAGACTCGCCAATGGGCTCGCCACCAAGCTGCTCAATGATGGTGGGCAGGGTGTTGAGATAGTCAATCAGGGCGTCTGGCGGGCTCGGGGGCGTAATCTCGGCGCGCTCAAAGATGAGCGGGGCATAGTCAGTCGGCACCGGCAGGGTGAGAGTGGCAGCGCTCGAGACACATGCCGTAGGCTGCGCAATGACCGTGGATCGCGTAAAGTCATTGTACAAGACATAGGTGGTCGGGTAGGTCCTGTGGGGGAAGAATGTTAGCCGACTTCTTTTTTACAGTTTGACCAAAAGTACGAACAGAGTAGTGCCATACGACTCCCAGGTAATCTCAGGCGTGGGAGTGGCGGCTGGAGGCTGATTGACCGTCTCTCCGGTGATGGTGGTGACTGAACCGTCCAGACGGGAGAGAACGGTGATGCCGACGACGGTGTTGTAGAATGTGACGGTATTGGTAGAGACGGTACCGGGGTACGCAAGCTCCGTCGCGGTGACGTCCACTGTACAGCCTTGGTCGCAAGAAATGGACGGCGACGAAGGAGGTTGAGATGGCGTGGGGGTTGGCGTCGGAGTGGGCGTGGGCGTGGGCGTGACTCCGGGCGTAAGGGTGAAGGTGACGGTGGACGTGACTGTGGACACAAAAGTGGTAGTCTCGCCAGGCAGGGTGGTGGTGACAATGGTGGTGATAATATCACCGGGCTGAGTGACGATGCTTCCCGGAAGGGTCACTGTATCCGGGGGCAGCGTGACTGTCTCTACGGAAGTGACCGTCTCTGGCGGGAGAGTGGTGGTGATGATTGTGGTAAAGGTGGTTATGCTGACGCTAGTGATGACTGAGGTGATAACATCCGTCTCGACAATGGTGGTAGGCTGAGTAAGGATTGACGTCTCAATCTCCGTGACCGGATAAGACTCGGTAAGCACGCTGGTGTCAAGCTCGGTGGTGACGACAGTCGTAGGCTCGTAGATGGTCTCGCGGATCGTGGTTGGAACGGTCGTCGGGACCACGGTGGTCTCGGTCTCGGTGATGTAGGTTGGGACCAGGGACGTGTAGGTCGTGGTGTAAGTCGTCGTGGTGGTCTCGGTGGAGATGATGGTAGAGGTCTGAATGACAGTGACCGGGTAATACTCGGTGATGAGAACGGTGGTTGGGTAGTAGTCCACGCGGGTAGTGGTTTCGACGACGGTGGTGGGCAGGAACTCAGTCGAGACAACAGTGGTCGGATAGTACTCCGTGGTGACGACAGTTGTTGGCACAAACTCGGTGTGGGTGATGCAGTACGTCTCCGTGACGACCTCGGTGATGGTTGTTGGCACGTAGTCGGTGTAGACGGTGGTGTATACCGAGGTGACGGGCGTGGGGACAAGCTCAGTGCGCACGTCGGTGACGACGTCGGTCTCGACGATGGTGTTGTCGAGGGTGGTGGGCTGGTAGACAGTCTCCTTCTCGGTGACGGGGATGGTGGCGTTGGAGACGTAGGTAATGTAGGAGGTGACGGTGGAGACGTATGAGTAGGTCTCTATGACGGAAACAGTCTTGGTCACGGTGCCTTCAGACGGACAGACGAGCGAGCTGGACGGGCCGGACGAGCTTGGTGGGCTTGAAGGGCTCGAGGGGCTTGAAGGGCTCGGAGTGGGCTCTTCTGAAGTTGGAGTCGGCGTGGGAGTAGGCGTAGGGGTAGGCTCTGGAGTTGGAGTGTCTGGCGGACAGCCATATCCCTCGCAGGGAGCTGGAGTGGGCGTGGGAGTGGGAGTCTCTGGAGGAGGCGGACAGCCGTAGCCGTCGCAGGGCCATGGAGAGCTGGATGGAGAATCGGCAGCTGGAGGCGAGCCGTCGTAGGTCGCGGCAGACAGGCCAAAGAGAGCGGCCAGCAGTAGGTGACGACGCATGGTAGCGAGTGTGGGCGTCGTCGTCGAACCGTTAAAAGGATGAAGCAGTCCGTCGTAGAAGCAGGAGACGGCGACCTTTTTTCGGATGTATGTTAGAAGAGAGTGACCAAGGCCGGGAAAAAGGAGGAATTGAATTGAAGGGAGTTGGGAAGAGAGGTTAAAAGAGGAGTAGGCAGAGAACGAACGGGTAAACAGGTCCGGGAGTGGCAAGCATGAAGAGAAAAGAAGCATGGCATGGCGCGAGTGGGTTTGTGTGTGGGAGAGAGTGTGTTTGTACCGACAAGCGGAAAGAGTGGATCAGGAACACGACTTACCTTACTACGACTACTACCTCTCTCTCTCCCCGTCTAGGCTGGGTGGGTGGATGGATGAGTTTGTGGGAAAAAGGTGGAGCAAGAACGAGGTGTAGTAGGATGTGGGAAGGTATTTAGGTAGTAGTGAGTAATGAGTAATGAGTGATGCAGCAAAGGTTTAGTAGTAAAAGGTATTAGATGGCACTGTACCTTGAACGACGACGATGCATGGCTTAGTTCAGACCGGGGGAGGGGGGGAGGGAGGGATAGAGAGGCCCATGGGATATATAGATAAAAAGAACGACGACAAGCAAGCCGACAAGGCTGCGGAAGGAGCAGCAGCAAGTGATTGGGAGGAGGCATCTCGCATCACGCATCTCGCATCACGCATCTCGCATCTCGCACCATCCAAGCTTTGACACTACCAATAACTAATTAGCGGGCGAAGACGAGGACAAATGAATGGATGGATGGAGGCAGTTGGGCGTAAACAAGAAAGTGTATTATAGCGTGTGAAGGGAGTGGAGTGGGATGCATGTTGGACGCCAGAAGAAATCAGCAGGAGCGATCGTAGCAAGTGCGACGGACGCAGCCCAAAGAGGGAAACAGCAGGCCGGAAGAGGACTAGCGGGACAGTGAGCAGAAGTGGCAGGAGCAGCAGCTTAACAGTCAATACTTATTGCCGCAACGACAGCGAATCCACTCCAGCTGCACTTTCACCTTGACCTTGCAGTAGAGGAGACGGACAGAAGAAGTGATGGCTGAAGAAGAGAGTGTCGACTGGCTTGGACGACTTGTACAAACACTCACTCACTCAGTCACTGACTCACTCCAACAGTCCTGTCAATGTTATACTATATATCATCGTTATTCAAGGTGAGTAGTAAAGTGTGATGGAGTGTAAGACAACAAGGCTGAGAGAGAGAGAGAGAGAGATGGGTCTAGGGTGCAGGGTCAGACACGCTAGACTATACTGGGCTAGCGGGGCCAAGACAGGCACGACTAGTAGTGTGCTGACTAGTCTAGTGCGCGGCGGAGATCGGGCGAGGCTGAGAGTTGATGGATGAGAGACAGCGAGACAGCAAGTAAAGGGTGCGGCGGCGGCGTGTGTTGTGTTGTTTGTGTCTGTCTAGTACACGGCCAGTCCAGTCGACACAACAGAGAATGACGTGTAGACATGTCCTGTATACACTGGACTGTAGTCGGATATACTACAACAACAGCATCAACAATAGGGCAGTCTTCGCCCCCTCCAGTTGTTGTCTATCAGCACTATCAGCACCATCAGCACCATCACGCCCCAACACCCGCTAAACTGCTGCTAGCCCCCGATTTCCCGACTCCGAGCCCCACCAGCGCGCGGACGGGCGACGGGACTGCGCACAACACAGCACGGTCCCAGTAATTCTCCGACTTGAGGCCTCGCTTCCAACTCTCCACGCCTCCACACCACCACACACCACCGTGTCGTCCGTGCGCTGACTACACTTTGTTTTCACTTCTCAAGAGTGGCATATCTTCGCCCCCTCGTTCGATTCCAGCGACAGGAATAGCAAAGACGATAAACAACTTCAATAATCTCTGTCTTATTCAAATTGAGACAGCAGTCTTGCTTGTTGCTTGCCATCACCTGATCGCCATTCCCTTCTGTATTGTCCCTCCCGTTGTCACGCCGCCTAGCCTCCACCTAATCCTGTTACTGTTGCTGCTGTGCCGCACTCCTGCAGCTTCACTGCTTGCTGGATGGATGGATGGATGCTCAACTATGACTCTCGTGCAGCCATCTCCCTCTCTATTGGCTCCTTGAAGCCTGATCATTATCTTCGCCCTGGCCCGTTCCGCTCTCGCTCCTCACTCTAATTACTACTATACTACCGCCTCCGCCACAGCCTGGCCACTTTACTCTCTCTCATCTTCGATCTGTTGCTTCATCTCCTTCCATCACTTGCATATCCAATTCTCCATCCTCTCCCTCAACCGACGAGGCCAGCCTTGTCTCTCCCCGTTCACCATTATTATCCCCAGTCCAATCTAGATAGCAACTGCCAGCACCCCCCCTCCCCCTGATCTTCCAATATTCTCTATTCTTATCCTCACACTCTTACGGCCACCCATATAATCTAAGCTGTGTGTGTGTGTGTGTGTGTGTGTGTGTGTGTGTGTGATATGTGCCGCGCTCGCCCACGCCAGGATCATGGTGGGCCTGTCTCGTTTGCTGACAGCTCAATCCCTTGCATATCACATTCCCACCCTGGATCTGCCTATTCTCTCCCATTCTCCCATCCAATTCATCCGACTCATCCATCCATCCATCCAATCCATTCTATCCCGCCATCCACTCTCCCTCCCTCCATTCATCATCACTTCTGCCTATGACCATTACTCTCCTACTCGTCCTCTAAGCCGCACTTTATCCGCCCATTCCATCTCTCCCTCTCAGCCTCACCTTCGCCGCATACACTCTCTTACTCCTCTTCTCTGCCCGTCCATTCACTCTTCTCTACTCTTCCTCCTCCTCTCCATGTAGTGTGGGGTTGTGGCTCCCGCCTAGACCATCCTCCATACCCATGTCCGTCTGCCTGCTTTAAGCTTACATGCCACCACACTCACGCTCTCTTGCTTCTACTGTCGCTCACATCCAACCTACCTTCCGACTCTCCTCGTCGTCGTCGTCGTCGTCGTCGTCGCCGCCATCATGTCGCTGGCCGTCCGAGCCGACGCCTTGACTGCCATTCCCAACCCATACGTCTTCCCTCCCTCCAGCAGATTCGAAGGCGTCGACGGCTCCTGGTCAACCTTCACCATCAACGTCGGCGATGATGGCCACGGCAACACCGGCCAAAACTTCCACATCTTCCCCTCCACCTCGGCCACCGCCACCTACATACCCGGTGCGACAAACAACTTCTGCGGCAACCAGTCCGATCCCGACGCCTGCTGGGAGTCGCGTGGCATCCAGGTCTACAGAGGCTCGCAACAGAATGGCTTCAACACCCAGGCCGCCTCCGCCTGGAACCAGCTGGGCTCCTACAATCTCGGCCTCGACACTACCACCTTTGGCTATGGCGACAACGACTCGGCCATCTGGGGCACCGACAATGTTGGCATAGGCGATGCCTCCACCGACAGTCAGACCCTGCCCGCCCAGCCCGTCGCCCTCTTCTACAATGCCACCTACTGGCTCGGCCTGTTTGGCCTGTCCACCGTCCCCACAAACATTGACGGCTCCGCATATCCCACCTTTATCGACAGCCTTTTCAAGTCTCTCGACGACAAGAACCAGTCCCTCATCCCCAGCATGTCCTACGGCTATGCCGCCGGCGCTTCTTATGGTGAGTTAGTCTGACACCGGGTGGAAAGATGGAGATGTGTATGCCGGGCACGGAAAGCCGGAGATGTGTATGCCGGCCGTTTTCACACAAAGCTGACCCGTACATAGCGAATGCGCGCAAAGGCCAGGTCGGCAGTCTGATATTCGGCGGCTACGATGCCTCCTTGTTCGACACCTCGCGCACCGTCCAGATCAGCTTTCCGGGCGGCGTCGGCGGCGAGGATGTCTCCCTGTCCGCCGCAGTCACCTCCGTCGTCACGGATGATGGCAACACCGTCCGCACACTCGACAACAGCAGGTTCTCCATCCTCATCGACTCCACCCTACCCTACCTCTGGCTGCCCGGCAACATCTGCGACCAGCTCGAGGATATATACGACATCACCGAGGGCCCGAACGGGCTGTACAATGTCTCCACCGCCCACTACCAACAGCACTTTGCCACAAACATCACCTTCTCCATCGCAAACAACGTCAACTCGATGGAAAAGGTCGACATCGTCCTCCCCTACGCCGCCCTCTACCACACGGCCAAGTACCCCGTCGTGCGCTCCGACACGCAGTATCTCGCATTCAGACGCTCGCCAAACAACAACTACGTCCTCGGCCGTGCATTCCTACAGCACGCCTATCTGGTCGTCGACTACGAGCGAAGGTACTGGTCCGTCGCCCCCACCATCATCGCCGACCCGCTGCCCAGCCCAAACATCACCCGCATCCTCTCCCCCGCCATCCAGACCCCGGAGCCAACCCCAATCGCAAAGGACAAGCTCAGCGGCGGCGCCATCGCCGGCATCGTCGTCGCCACCCTCGCCTTCGCCCTCGTCCTCGCCCTCGCCATCTTCTACTTCCGCAAGGCCCAGCAGAAGAAGCAGAAGCTGCTCGCCCAGCAGCAGCCCCTGCCCCCGGAAAAGGACATTTACGAGCACCCGGGCTCGCCCGCCCCGGCCTACGGCTCCGCCTCCATCGCCAACAGCACCAACAAGAACCGCCACACCTACGACTCCCAGCTCAGCCAGGAAATGCCCGACTCGTCGCGCTCTGCCTCGGCACAAGGCTTCTACGGCGGTCACCACCGCCACTCCGAGTCCGGCTCCAACATCACCGAGCTCGTCGGCTCCCCCGCGCCGGGCTACTCCGACGCCAAATCCCCCGGCGGGCCTGGAGGATCAGCAGCAACAGCAGCAGACTCCTACTTCAAACACGGCCCCGGCGTCGTCGACCCCGCCCCGCTCGCCGAGCTCCCCGGCGACCACGGCATCTCCGAAGCCCCTCTACGCAGACCCCGTGGCGCAAGAAAGCGCAGCGCAGGCAGTAACGGGAAAGTCCAGAGTCCCGACGCCGACCGTCCGCTGCCCATTCACGAGGTCGAGGAGGGCGATCACGCGTCGCCGCCGCCGGCAGCGGGGCCTGACGGGTTACTTGCCGAGCCGCGGCCGGGAGAGGACAATCATGATGCGCAGTCGTCGGATGAGTCGGACGCGTCAAAGGGCTCGTCTGAGGACTCGCGTGTCGCGGTCGGGAGTGCTGATGCCGAGCGTGATTCGGCGGATGGTATTTCCCCTGCGCCGCCGCCGCCGACGACGACAGCACATACGGATCCGGGCAGCGACGCGGTGGCGAAAGAGATGAATCCCTGAGATCTGAACGTCCATCTACACGCAAATTACATGAAGTCAGACAAAATCACATATATCTGCACCATCTCGACGAGTCTATTATTCACCATCCATCCCGGTCACGTTCACGTTCTTGTTCATGTTGATGTTTTCGTCCATGTACCTTTTCCCCCCTTTTTTTACACCCTTTTATTTTCAGCAACAGTTTTTGTTTCCGTGCTGCTTTCACACTCCTTTTAACCATGATATCCCGGGTTTTTTTGGTTCTACTTCACTCTTTTGGCATTGCTGCGTTTTGGGCATATCACGGCGCTGGTTGGGATTGATGTCGGGGTGGATGTGGGAATTGGTTCGGTTGGGTTGGGGCGGTCTTGTCTTGGGTTTCTTGGCATATATGGGGGTATAGCATGTTGTAGGGTGGAGGATGGCGTGTTGTAGGGTGGAGGATGGCGTGTTGTAGGGTGGAGGATGGCGTGTTGTAGGGCGAAGGATGGCATGGAAGCAGAGCAGAGCAGGTCATACGCTGTGGGCTGTTGGTTGGAAACTGCTAGCTAGGTATAGAAGACGCGCCGATGTTGAGATAAGAATGAAAATTGCAAAATGCGAAAATGCGAAATGCGAAAATGCGAAATGCGAAATGCGAAATGCGAAATGCGAATTGAAATTGGAAAATGCGAAATGTATGAACTGAGTTGGATTGAGTTCGATTGATTGAATTGAAATGGATGGATGAATGGATCTCGTCAAATATAGACATCCTCACGCCTCTGAAGTAAAAAAAAGCATCTGGCATGGCGAACTCTTATGTAGGGACTATGTATGACGCGACGACGCCCAACCCTTCCCCCCCCCTCGATCCTCTCTAGATAACTACACACATCCATACACCCATCCCCCTCCTCCCTCCCCTCTATCCTCATTCCCATATCCCCCAATTCCCCCCTCCACCCTTCCCCTTTCTCCTTCTCCCCATCTCCCCCCCTTTACCCATCACCCTCTTAATTCCCCACCCCCTCACTCCCCTCAAACCCCCTTCCCCACAACCCCCACCCTCTCCCCAACCCCATCAAAAACAACAACCACCCTCCGCAACAACACATCCCCAAAAACCTGCACCCCCGCACCACCATTCCCCTGCACCCCGCCAAAACACGTCGTGTTCGCCTCGTCTACCGGTGCGAACGTCATCGCGTCGCCTGGGATTTCGGCCATGAATGTTGTAGCCGTGGTATTTGTGCTATCTGTGTTCGTAGTCCCGGGCCCAAGCGCGATGGAGAAAGAAGGTAGGGGAGAGGTGGCGCAGGGATAGACGTAGCCGCCGGCGGTGGAGTCGAGGGTGGCGCCCGGGACGGCGGCGTAGTATGTTGCTGCTGTGGAGGGGGTGGTGAGGAGGAGGGTTGTGCCTGTGTCTTTTTGTCGTGGGGTTTAGTATCGCCTCGTACACGTCTGTCTTTGCAAGGGGGTCGTGGAAAGGGGCTGGGGTAGGCATGCAAACGCTCACTCGGCTGAGCCGACAAAACACACAAAGCGCACCACGAAAACACAAGAAGAAACCCAAGAAAAAAGAAAACCCACCAAGAATCGCCGGCCCCGCATCCGGCGCAACCATGACCTTGCCATCTACCGCAAAGCTCCCACTCTCAATCTGCCAGAACCCCGCGCTGCTGTCGACGGGCAGCCAGACGAGCTCGGCGCCGGGCGGGTCAAAGCGCGACCTATCGATGCGGCCGAACTCGTACGTGCCGCTGGCGTCGTCGGTCAGGTCGGCGGTGAAAACCGGCTCGTCGAGGTGCGGGAGGAGGTTTTCGAAAAAGGTCTTTTGTGGGGTGGGGGTTTGGTTTGTTGAGACTGGGTCTTCGGGTTAGTGTGTCTGTATGGAAAAGGGGAGGGGAGGAAGGGCACACCAGTATTGAGCTTCCCAAACGCCAGCCCGACGAGCCCGTCGGTATTCACGGACTGGACAAACGACTGCGACACGGCTGTTGCGAGCTCGACGGCTTGCTCTGTGACGGTCGCGCCGCCGATGTCGACCGTGTCGGTGCCTACGAGCCCTGCGGCACCGCTTCCGTCGCCGTACTGCACGAGGAAGCTTGCGTCCTGCATGGGCGTGAAGGTCGGGCTTTTCTTGGGGTTGAAGGCGGCGTGGGCGCCGATGGCTTGTCGGGGGAGCAGGGTGCTGAAGACCCAGCTTTTCAGGACTGTCAGTGTGGGATCGTGTATGTGTGTGTGTGTGTGTGTGCATGGACATGGACATGGACGGCTTACAGGTCGGACGAGCCCGTGTCGAAGTCGAGGTTGAACTGCTGCCCGCCGATGGTGACGGGGGATAGGAACAGCGCTGCGTTGTCCTCGGGACTCGCTGCTACCTCTCCGTTCTCCGTCCCGTTGGCGGCGGCGGCGGATGTGCTGTTGCTAGCGTTTGCCCAGCCGTATTTCCGGAATGCCTTTTCCATTGCTGCCTTGCCGTTGCGTCGCTTGCCTAGCATCTTCGGGTTGAGCTGGCGGGGGACCTTGAACGAGCGTTTCGAGACTGTCGACGGCCTCACGCTCACGGGGGCGGGAGCAGCGAGGCAGAGCGCCACCAGGGCGGCGAGGAGAATGAATGACTTTACTGAATGCATGGCCTACGGCTGTCCTGCAGCGAGAGTGACTCCCAAGAATGGGACTAGATAGATAAAACAGCAAAAGCACACGGAAAGTATCGACAAGAATAGAGGCCTAGGCACAGCCTGACAGACCCAAAAGAATGAAGATAGAGTAAACAAAGCCCAAAGCCGCAGATGCAGAACGGTATTTATCAAAAGGAAAGAAATCAGCAGCATACAAGATATCCTTCCATGGCAGACATCGTCCTGTGCTCGCAGTACGCACGCAACACTTCAACTTAGCCGCTCAGCACTCCTCCATCTCCCCAGAAAAGGTGGACAATACGCACGCCACGAGTAGCAAGACGTCGCATATAGAGACATCTCATGGATTGTCCGACAGCCACGCGTGGAGTCAGGAGTCCGATCAAGCAATCCGGCCGAGCAACGGCTACGCCCCCACAGGCTGCCGTTGGTTCAAGATCGAGCATCGACACACACCACTGGCAATCTCGATCTAGAGTAGTCAGCCTTAGTCATGCCCATCTACGTTGGCGTGCGACAGTACGCGCAAGACAGAGCCATGTTTCATGCTTGGTGGTTGAGACAAGACCTCTGTGGAGACGGGGCGTCGCGGTTAAGCTTTTCGGTTCAGATCCGAAGCTTGAAATCCCCCGCTCGGACTGCTGATTGGTCCGTCTGGTCTCGGCATGAATGTTGGCGACTGTTCCAGAAACGATTCGTAGCGCTTCCTGCTGTGTGTTTGGTATCTCTCTGTCCGTCCCGCATGGTTGGTTGGGCAGATCGGGTGCTACCAGAGTGCTTGGTGAGGAACGGGTAGGATGTCAACATCAGGGTCTTTCTACTGACCAGTATATCGAGACCGAGGGCGTGAGATCACGAGTCGAGGCAAGGCACTTGACGTCTCAGACTGCAGATATGATGACGACAGTCTTCGACGCACTCAGGACAAGCAGTCCCCAAGCTAGAACAAATATATACACGAGTCCGTATTGATACATCATCATCATCATCATCATCCCCACGTCCCACCGCCGCCTCTGCCCTGTTTCTTCTGCGCCGAGAGCCTCCAGTCGTCCTCGCCCGCGAACCGGTTGTGCAGCGGCTGGATACGCTCCGCTTTCTTGCGCTGGCTCAGCCGGTCCGTCCCTGCCACCTTGAAAAAGGTAGGTGCAGCTTCCACGAGCCACTTGGGCTCGATCGCGGTGACGTTGTGCATGTATTCCTTTGTCGTCTCGACGAGGCTGTGGTAGATGACATGTTCCGTGGGCTTCCCGAACAGCGCCGACGAGGGATGCAGGTAGACTGGCGTGCCTTCGACCAGAGTCTTGTAGCCCTCTGTCGGGTCCTTGCGAGCACTGTTGCGGAAGAAGCCTCCGCAAAGCGCCTGGCGCACCTTCATCGTGTTTCGGCCGCAGGACACGACCTGTCGAGAGTGGCGCTGCAGGATCTGCACGAGCTGCTGTCTCACTTCCTGCGCCCGTTTCATCGACCGCGGCTGGATAAAGTTTTCGAAGCACCAAGGCGTCGAGTATCGACTGTTCTTCCACGCATTGTAGACGTTCAACAACGTCAGATGGTCGCCATGTGGATCGTGGAATTTGGCCTTCTTCTGATCCGCCTGCTGCTGCTTGTCCTTTGGTCGATGAAACACTGTCTGAATCGAAAGCATGGACACTATCGTTAGCATCTCGTCTGAGCATTGCATGTCCACAGAAGTAATCAGACCCTTGGCTAGGGACGGCTCCATGGGGTAATCGGCCATCTGGCGCCCCAGTCTTGTAAGCAGGCCTTCGTCGTCCAAGGCCGAAAGCGCATATAGCTCCTCGAGTGCAGTCAGCATAGTGTTCGTCGGAGGTGGGTCCATAAAGTCAAAGTGGAGGAGGTCATTGATTCCCATAGCTTTGAGCATAAGGATGGTGTTTGAAAGATTCTGCCGCTGGATCTCTGGAATAGTGGTGGGCAGCATCTCAGACTGGAAAGCTGCTTCTGTGTACAGACGGAAACATTTACCCGGGCCCGTCCTGCCTGCGCGGCCAGCTCTTTGTTTCGCCTGGGCCTGGGATATGGGCGTCACTTGCAGTCGGTCCATCCCAAGCTTGGCATCATATGCCATCTGCTTGACGAACCCTGGGTCCACGACATAGTAGATGCCGTCGATGGTAATGGAGGTTTCGGCAATATTCGTGGCGATGACCACCTTTCTCGACCCTGGTGGAGCAGGCTCGAAGATGCGACTGGCGATTTCGCTTGGCAACGCACCGTAAATGGGCAGAATCATCAACTCCGGCACACTGGGTCCGAGGGCTTTCATTCGCTCGTGGAGAATTTCGCACGATGTGTCAATTTCTTCTTTGCCAGTCAGGAACAGCAGTATGTCGCCCATGGGCTCGGTGAGATGAATCTGCATCACCGTCGTAAGTGCTGCATCCAGGTAATCCGACTCCGGCTCTCTAGAATACATAATTTCAACCGGGAACGTCCGACCTGGGATGGAGAAAATAGGGCATTTGTTGAAGTATTCGGAAAACTTGTCTGCGTCTAGGGTGGCAGAGGTGATAATTACTTTCAGGTCCGGGCGGCGTTTCAATGTCTTCTTCAGAAGTCCAAACAGCACATCTGTGGCGATTGTACGCTCGTGAGCTTCGTCAAGCATGATGACGGAGTACCGGTGCAGGAAAGGATCCAACAGAATCTCACGCTGCAAGATACCGTCTGTCATGTATTTAATCTTTGTCTCCGGACCCGTCATATCCTCAAATCGGATAGTGTAACCAACTTCTTGCCCAAGCTTACAGCCAACCTCCTCAGACACTCTTTGGGCAACCGACATGGCTGCCACACGTCGAGGCTGTGTGCAGCCAATCATGCCTTCATTCGCATGTCCATCTTCAGCCAGATACTGCGTCAGCTGTGTTGTCTTCCCCGATCCAGTGTCTCCAACAACAATCAGAAGCTGATGCTGACGCACGGCATCAAGCAGCTGCTTGCGGAACTTGTAGACTGGCAGGCTCTTTCTTTGTTGGTCGATAGACATATTCGTGCGTTTGCCAAAGGATTGGTCTTTGCCTTGTTCAATGCGCTTCCATTCTGGAACAGGAGCACTGGCAGCATTGGCTCTGGCATTCCGCAAGTCGCTCGCAAATTTCTTCTGATCCGGTCCAGCCATGGGATCGTTCCACTGGGCGGAGAGATCTACCTTGCTTGCCTCTTGCGATGCCTTGTCTCTTGCTTCTTGCTGCCGCAGTTCACGGCGGTCACGGGCCAGTACATCTCCGGACATTGCGGCTCTGTTCAATGAACCATCAGGGGCCTTGATGACTCTGATGGGCGACAGTTCAAGCGATTGCTTGGTCTGCCCAGCAAGAAATGGAGGCTCATCCTCGCGAACTTCAATATCGATATCCTCTTCTTGTTCAATCTCTCCATTCTCATCAAGGTTTTCGTCCTGTATAGCATCAAGATCAGGGTAGTCCTCCCTTTTGACTGCACCCGAGGCAATCAATTGTCGAATCTCCCATCGCTCTGGTGATGTGAGTCGTTTCCGGGTTCTCTGTTGTCTTGACATTTGCGTGCCTTCAATCACCGGAACGTTCGATTCAAAGCCCCCATACCGGCTGTCCCCATTCAACCCATTCGATCCAACTCCCACTCCTTCCATGTTGGCACCGGACGCTATTCGTTTCTGAGGCGTCAAGTCGTGTCCACTGACCTGGTCCACTTCCTTCATGGAGAGACTGATGCGATTGTTCTCCATCTTGATGACCTTGACTTTCACTTCTTGTCCACGCGAGACGATATCGGACGGGTGATTTACTCGAGCACCGTCAATCATCTGCGAAACGTGCACTAAGCCGTCTACTCTTCCCTTGACGCCCAGTACGTTGACAAATGCGCCAAAGTCCTTCAGCCCGGTGACTGTCCCGTTGTAGATCTTGAACATGATGGGCGACTCATCGATCTCCGGAGTCGGGGGTCTCACGAGTACCTCCGAGTCGGTCGAAGAGCGGCGTCGCCTCCTTGGTTTTCTAGTGTCCTTGCTCTTGACTTTTCTTGTGCGGCCAAACTCATCTTCAAATAGATAATCGTCATTGCGGTCGACACGTCGCTTGTGGCGAGCTGGGCTGCGTGACGGTGACCGCGATCTTGATCGGGAACGCGATCTGAAAGAGCGCTTGCGGGACTGGTCCGAGGTGACGGGAGGTTTAGCCTTCCCTGCGAGGCCCTCAAGCATAGCAAACGTGTCATCCAGTTCACCAAGCTTGACGTCTTCTTCTAGGTCTTCCTTGCTCGTAACCTCAAACTCCAGCTCCTTATCCGGCAGCGCTAAGCCTTTGAACACTCTTGCCTTCCTGTCCCTTTCGTTTTCTGGTTCCTTTTCTGTAGCCTGGGTTTTGGGATCCGAACTGTTCTTGCGTTTGTATTTCGGATGCATCGTCAGCACCAGGCGATCCACGCTCTCCACGAGACTTTGTGGAAACTCTGCGCCCATCTCCTCCAGTTTTGACTTGAACTCGGCAAGAGAACTGCATTTCGAATGCTGATCTATAACGAACTCAGCAAGTGTCTTGTCGCTAATGCCCAAGTGATTTTGTAGTTCAGAGGCGACTTTGGAGACTAGAGACAGGGCCTCGAGGGCTTCGATGTCATCCATCCTGGCGCGAGTGTGTCGTCGTTGTAGGATTGATCGCGCGATTCAGGGTCCTGGCTTGGATGTCCGTAGCTTGGAAAAAAATTCTACGACAGGGTAGACTGATGGGACAGCATGCTCTCAACCGCCCAAATGAGGCCAACTATGGCCGAAGAAGCCGGAAGTGTAGAAGGCGACTGAAGTATGGATGTGTATTGGAGTAGTAGCCTTCCCGACACGTGATGGTGTCGCTGTTAGAATTGCCAGATGCCTTACCGCCCGATAAGTGGGTCTCCGTCTGGCATTCCGAATGGAGCTGCGAGAGAGCGACGACCACAACAGTGAATTGCTTCCAAAACGAATCGAACTCTCGCACACCAACTGAACCATATAACGATCCCCAAGCGACCTACTTCTTGAGTCTCAGCCGATTGCCTCTATTCAATATCTCACCTTCGCCCATCACCTCCACCATTGGTTTGCCCGCACTACCTCTCAAGCTCACACAAATCGCCATCAGGCCGTCAGGGTAAGATAAGAGTCCGGCATACTTTCGTCGGGGGCAGACTTGGATCAATCAAGTACTATCTCGGTACGCAGGCACTGTATTCACCCCTCTTAAGCCGCCAAACAGCACTTGGTCGAATCGAAGCTTGCGCTACGTCACGCTCTCAACACCTCTCAACACCGCGTCCCAAGTTCGGCCTAACTGGAAGTGACTCCTTCGCTCTATTCTCACCTGTCATTGGATATCATTCATTGCAGTATACCAATTCATCACAAAGCCGCCAGAGAAACATTACCGTCACAGTATCCCAAGTTACATATCTACCCGACCTATATACGCCATTCTTCTACAATTTTCTCGTCACTTCTCCACAGAGTATACATGCACACGAACCATGGACAGCAAACCTGTTATAAGATATACAGTAGATCAGCTACAGCACCTCCGGAACTCTCCGCTTGTTCGCAAGCCGGACAAGCTTCCTTCTATCGAGCAATGGATGGAGTAAGAAACGTTGTCGCGCACGTATACATTTCCACTAACGAATACAGGAATCAAGGTGACCAGAACCATCGCAAGAGCCGCCCTTCAACCTCTACCGCAGATCATGAAAACCAACGTCCCTCGATCCTGTCCACACGCCAGTTCGCGCGTTCAAGCGCAGGTATGAAACCCACTCCTCGTATCTCGTGTTACACTAATGCAAAGAAGGCGAGGACATTGTCCTTGGTCCCCCCAAATTCGCGTTCACGTCGTCCTCGGCGGTCCGTATCGCTAAGCAATCCGAAACGGGTGAAAAATCATCTGCGCATGAAGAGGATGGAACCAACGCAGACCGTTATACTGGCCGAGAACGTTCGTTCAAGGATCGTGACAACGAGCGGCCGCGTGAGAAGCAGCCATACGCCAATGGCCGACGGGGGCCACGTGAAGATGTTGAGGGCTGGTCCGTCTTTCGCAAACAGAAAGTCCATGATCAAGATGAGCAAGAGCGCTCGCAACGACACCTTGGTAGAGATCGCGATAGAAACGAGCCAGATGATACTTATCCCCGAAAAAATGGCGCCGGAAGGGGTCGTTTCGAACAGCCATGGGGTCGTGAAGATACAGCGCAAAATAAAGACACAGACAATGGCAAATTCTCGTCCACCAAAAGCACCGGCTGGAGAGATCGTGAACGAGATCGTGACCGGGAACATATTCGAGACAAGCGTGATGACCGCGAGTGGAATAGAGGGCGAACTGACGATGACCCGGAGTGGATGGCCACTGACTCTGCTGGCGCTGAGAAGAAGCATGGCCACACACAAGAGGATTTCCAACGCTGGATGAAAGAAATGAAGAACAAGACATCCGGACGAGACGACGTAATGAATGCCCCCGAATCCGTTGAAAAACCGCTCGAAACATCCAAGCCCACAAAGACCTCTGTCCCTCCATCTCAGACTGCTGGCTCACTACCCCCTACCCAACTTTTTGAAGGAAGCACAGAAAAGCTATTCGGTATCTGGGGAGAATCTAAACAGACCAGCGCGAAAGACGCCGAGATTACTGCCGCCCCACGCGCAGCTGCAAACAAGTCGAAACCTTCAAGGTTTGCATCATTGTTCTCACCTCAGGAAGAGAAGCTCGGTGAAGAAGCTACCGTATCACAGGGAACTCCAATCGCTGCTGCGTCGGTGGAATTTGCCGACGACAAAGCAGGATTTCAACGCATTCTACAGATGCTAGGCAACACCACGGTGTCTCCCAGCCCGGTGCCCCCAAAGCCCCCTCTCAATGGAAACAGACATCGAGCTGGACTGGATGTGGCGAAACCAAACTTTCCACCGGGTTTGGAACAACCAGCCGTACGACACGTAAGTACTCGATCAAAGGAAGAACGAGATGCTATCTTGGATTCCATTATTCCGAAGAATAAGCAGTCGCCCTTTGGCATATCTTCGCCTTCTAACAACTCCCCATGGGACATCCCCCAACCGTCTACGAAGACTGAGTTCCGAGAAGCTCCTATAAACCAAGCACCTTCTCGCAACAGCACAAACCCAGAAACTGGAGGGTTCCAGCAGCCTCTCCTTAATAGACCAGCTGCACAGACTGACACGAGTAACCGCGAGTTCCTTCTCAATCTCATCAAACAGCCAAGCCGATCCACATCAGCACAGACTCCCCAGAATGATCCTGGTCATTTGGTTCATGACAACAATTCACTGTTCCATGGCGAGAGGGGCACGAATCTTCAGATGCCGAAGGCCAGAGGACCCAATGCGGGCTTCTTTGACATGAACGACAGCGATATGCTTCGTCGATCTGCAGAGCTGACTCAACACGAGCAGCCTCGGAAGCCAGCACCGCGTCAACCTCCAGGCCTGTATGACGACCCTCCAATGTCCGCGGTTTCTCAAAGACGAAACACCAATGACAATCCGCCACGGCTACAAATGAGCAATATGGGTATCCCACAGCAGGCAGAACCTTATTGGATGAAGAATCAAGGCATACAGTCACCGCAAGATCGCATTCCTCCACCTCCCGGATTTGGCAATCGTATGCACCAGCAGCAACCTGGTGGTCCTTCATTTCCCCCGCACATGCAGTTTCAGGGCAACAATGCACCCCCAATGGGCCCACCTCCGGGCTTGAATCAGGGTTTGCCTCGTAGCATGTACCAAAGACAAGAGCCAATGGGACCACCACCTGGATTTTTCCCTCCTGGTCCCAACGGTCCCCCAGGACCTGGACTCGGAGGCCCACCACCAGGCTTTCCTCACATGAGCATGCACCAGGACATGATGGGTGTTCCGCGACGACATGCGGGCGGCCCTGGTAACTTTGACATGTTTAACGAGATGCATCCTGGTCGCGGCAGGGGCGGACCACCAGGACCACCATACATGTGATTCGCAAGGTCAACATCTCAACGTCGTCCGATTCCCGACACGGAAACATCAATGCGTCTGATGTAGTACATACTTCTCCATGTTTTCCCTGGTCCTTTCTGGCGTTCTTTCGAGCAGTCCTGCACTACGAACAGCGAGGCGTTCCACTGTTAACGGTATCATTCATCATCATCCTCATCACCAATCACTTTCGGGTGCAGTCGAGATTTTCATTGCAGTGTGTGCTTTTGGGGAGCATGGTTTCCTTTTTTGGTCTTCTGGTTTGCCACTCTCGCGTAGCTAACCCTGCAACGGCGCGCGTATCGGTTGGCCTGGATCTACGACACGTCCCCAAATGGATACTAACGCTTCTTCTGTCTTCATTATGCTCGTGGCGGCACACTGGGAAGCGACGAAAGAGGCAAGACGACGGTTTTCGTTTCCTCTGGCTCTGTCAGGAAATTTGAAGGGGTGGTGAATGCTCCAGGCAGGGGTGATGCGGGAAGACATGATGGGGAGAGGGGGGGAAAACCTGGTCGGCAGATGGTGGGTGGGCAGCTATCACTATAACGTCTGGAGCCTGAGTCGTTCGTCCCTTTTAGGGCGCGGCTCAAGCACGAGATGAAGAAATAAGAACTCTGTGTAGACAAAAGTGTCAAATGACAATATGTATAGAGTTCATGCCATCTCTGCATTTAGTTTGTTGCCATCCTATGTACGCACTACCGCGTCTTACATTCGGTCCGTCAACCTCACGCGTGTCTGCATTACTCGAGCGCGGATGGGCTCCAGCAGACTCAAGCAGGCTCCAGCGACTCACGCGTGCATAGAGTATATAGATACGAGCTAACTCACTAACTCACTTTGTGCACAGGATAGCGGATAGCATTATATGTAGTCTACCTATCCCATGCAACGCGAAACTCCAGCTTCGTTAACATGCAATTTTCATGCCCATCTATAGGAAGTAATCAGGCGTCCTACGTGAAACCATCGGCTCGCCAGCACGCGGGCATGGGTCAAATTGTAAGCTGTGCCGCTGTTAGAACTGGTGTCGAGAAGAAAGCTTGCATGTCCGACTTACAAGGTGTATTTGAGGTGTTCGTCAATTTCCATGATTGCAGCCTGGTTACCACAGCGATAGCAGTAATTTGGCGCAGAGAAGATGGTCACCACGTTGCGATCTTGTGACCAGTTGTAGCCCTCCATAACCAATTGATGGGCTCTTGCCACGAGTGTCAGGCCGTTATTGTGGTTAAAGGCCTCTGAAATGTCTTGGCCGAAGGTATACCCAGCTCCACGGGGCGATATTCCCCATCCACAGCGATCGTCTGGGTCGGACCAAAGCAGATCGCACATAGGACCCTCATGGGGCACTTCTTGTATTCTGTCTAGCGCACGAATGTTGTCGAGCGTATCGATGCTTGGGGAGAGACCACCGTGGAGACAGAAGATCTGGTTATCGATCAAGGCGGTCAGGGGCAGGTAGTCGAACAGATCTGTGAAGCACTTCCAGACGTTGGCATTCCCATATTTTCGAAGACACTCATCGTAGAAACCATAGACCTGCGTGATTTGACGGGATTCGTGGTTGCCACGGAGGATGGTAATTCTTTGCGGGTATCGAATTTTGAGAGCAACAAGTAGAGTGACCGTCTCAACAGAGAAGTAACCGCGATCAACGTAATCACCTAGGCAAGCGGTCAGCAATTAACGCATGGCAAAGGTCCGGATGCCATACCCATGAACAGGTAGTTGGTGTCTGGGTTTGGTCCGCCGATCTTGAACAGTTCCATCAAATCGTGGAATTGGCCATGAATGTCGCCGCAAACGGTTACAGGACATTTCTGCAATTCATGTGAGCTTCCACTGCGTATTGAAGCAGGCAAACAGACTTACCACCGGCTGAACATTCGACTCGTCTTGCAACACCTCTCTTGCCTGGCCACGCGACTCAGTTAGCTCTCAGATCTCTAGCAACGACTGTAATACGTAGGATAAGAGCATTATTACCTTGTCGCATAACCTCTGTACATCACTCTCCGCCAGCTGTTTGCAGCTCATAAGACTTTCAATCCACCCATCCAAGGTGGGAATGGACGCTGGCTCAGACGGAGCCGTGGGCATGGGCTCTGCCAGAGGCATCTTCACATCCTCCATATTTGTATCCATATTTGCGAGAAGCGAGTGTGAGTATCGGGAAGTATATGTTTCTACGAGTCCAACGTCTTCACGGATTATTGAAGTTCACAGCTGCGGAATGCGGGATGTATAATGACGTGTGGAGACGGCTGGAGGTGGCTCAGAGTTCGCTGTTTAGGAGGGGCAGGGGCACGGCGGTGCGAAACAAGCACAGAAAGCAGGTTGTGGAGAGAGTCGTGTCGGGTATCGTGAGTAGAGCGGTGTGGAGGAAAATAATGCTATCTCAGGTCGGCCCGCGCTTGTCGTGAGTGCGGTTGTTGGTGTTGTTCTTGCCCTGCGCACACACTGCCGACTGTAATCGCCAAAGCGAGTAACCCTGAGCTGACTAACGCTCGCCTGAGGCCTGAGGCAGCATTCAGCACAAGAGCGTGCGTGCCAACCAGCGTGACAATGGTCCGTTTCATGTGTTAAAAAAATATTCATGGTTGAAAGGTTCGATATATAATTAGATATCAACACAAATAATTGCCTAGATTCATACGATTTGACAAGCTCAGTGATAAATCGAAATTAAAACACTTAATTACTTTCAAGCCTAGCATTCTCTCTGATATTTGATATTGCCAATTATCAGCTGCTGAAAGCTTTCAGGAACAACTCGAGGCCCTGTATATCAACATATTGGTAGTGCATTCCTCTTTGATTTTCTGAAAAGATGCCCAGCTGTGAGTTTGAGAAGCGCTACTCCCAAATAGGGCTTAATTGATTTGACGCGTCCCCTCCTTACGCGCCAAAACCGCGACCGTCCGACGCGTCTCACGAATTTCACCCCACTCTCAAAAGCCCCCCTAGCCACTCTCTATTCGTCCTTCGCAACAACAACAACAACTTTTGCTGTACCGAGTCCAACAATGTCTTCCGTTGTCGATGCAGTCATCCATTCCGACGGTCCTCTCCCATCCAGCGACGGTCAGGCCGGTCGCCGGCGACGTAGCACAAATCGATCTTCTTCCAGGCCTCGGGGGCCTCCTTCAGAAAGCGCGGGCGCCAACAGTGATATTGATGGCTACGCTGAGGACGAAGTCGTCGGTGCGAGAGGTACTACTGGAAGAACATATACTGCAGGGCCTGATGCCGATATCCCAAGAGTAATCGATGTTACTGGAGAGGCCTTGTCGCAGCGGTTTGAGGAGTTCCTAGAAGCGTAAGAACTGCGAGGCATCATGGGTTTCTCTCTCCTAATAATATACCTCACTAGATACGCTGAAGACCCCTCTTCGTCCGGCGCACCAGCAAGCAGTATACAAACCGACAAATACTACGTCGCGCAAATACATGGGCTCAGAGTTTATAACCTTTCCACGCTCTATGTCGATTTCACACACCTTTTGAGGCACGAAGATGGCGTGGTTGCAGCTGCTATTGCTGATGAGTACTATCGTTTTCTGCCGTACATGGTACGCGCCTTGCACAGCTTGATTCAGAAATACGAGCCACAATACTTCAGAGAGCATCGGCAACCTGCGTCGAATTCTTCTGCTACCAATGGATCCGTCGCTGGGAGCATGAGTAGCCAGAACGATTCTACAGCGGACAAGACGCCGAATCAACAGACTGACAAGATCTTCACCCTTGCCTTCTACAACCTCCCTCTCGTGTCGCGCGTGCGACAGCTACGAACAACATCGATCGGTAGACTGCTCTCCATATCTGGAACCGTTACTCGTACATCGGAAGTACGACCTGAACTGTCTCAGGCTACCTTTATTTGTGAGGTCTGCAATACCATAGTTCCAAATATCGAACAGACCTTCAAATATACCGAGCCTACACAATGTCCAAACCGCACTTGTGGTAATCGTCAGATGTGGCGACTGGATATACGGCAGAGTACTTTCGTGGATTGGCAGAAAGTGCGTATCCAAGAGAACAGCTCCGAGATCCCTACCGGTAGCATGCCTCGCACAATGGATGTCATTCTGCGCGGTGAAATGGTCGACAGAGCCAAAGCCGGAGAGAAATGCATATTCACAGGAACAGTTATAGTGATTCCCGATGTGAGTCAGTTCCGGGTACCCGGAGTACGGCCACAGGCAGTAAGAGACGTAGGGAATGGATCTCGAGGTGGCGATGCAGGAGGAAGTGGTGTGAGCGGACTGAAAGATCTTGGTGTCCGAGACTTGACCTACCGCATGTCCTTCCTGGCTTGCATGGTCACGCCAGATACCTCTACACCAGGTCAATCTGCCCAGCAACATCTGAATGGGCAAGCTGGAAACATTCTAGCCTCGCTCAACCAGATTGCGCCTCTTGAGACCACTGCTACAGGTGAAGAAGCTCAATCCGAGTATCTTTCAACGTTGTCCCCCGCCGAAATCGAAGACTTGCGACAGATGGTTCATCAGCCAAACATTTTCATGAGACTTGTGGATTCCATCGCTCCGATGGTGTATGGCCACCAGGTTATCAAGAAGGGGCTCCTGCTGCAACTCATGGGTGGCGTAAGCAAAGTCACACCTGAGGGTATGGCACTCAGAGGAGACATCAACATCTGTGTCGTTGGTGACCCAAGTACAAGCAAGTCGCAATTCTTGAAGTACATCTGCTCTTTCCTGCCTCGTGCCGTCTACACCTCTGGCAAGGCATCGTCTGCGGCCGGTCTGACCGCAGCCGTTGTGAAGGACGAGGAGACTGGCGAATTCACAATCGAAGCTGGAGCCCTGATGCTTGCAGACAATGGCATCTGTGCCATTGACGAATTTGACAAGATGGATATCTCAGATCAAGTCGCAATCCACGAAGCCATGGAACAGCAAACCATCTCCATCAACAAAGCCGGAATCCAGGCAACGCTCAATGCTCGCACATCGATTTTGGCTGCCGCAAACCCGGTTGGGGGCCGCTACAATCGTAAGACGACTCTGCGCGCCAATGTCAACATGAGTGCGCCCATCATGTCTCGTTTCGATCTCTTCTTCGTCGTTCTTGACGAATGCGAAGAGAGTGTTGACCGTCACTTGGCCGAACACATCGTAAATATCCATCGTCTGCGCGACGATGCCGTGCAACCACAGTTCAGCACCGCCCAGCTGCAGCGTTATATCCGCTTTGCGCGAACATTCAAGCCTGAATTCACACCGGAAGCGAAGCAGACTCTGGTCGAGAAATATAAAGAGCTTCGTGCCGACGATGCCCAGGGCGGCATTGGCCGTAACAGCTACCGCATCACAGTCCGCCAGCTTGAGAGTATGATTCGTCTCAGCGAAGCCATCGCTAAAGCTACCTGTGTGAGTGAGGTGACGCCTGAATTCGTACGCGAGGCATACAATCTCCTGCGCCAAAGTATTATTTCGGTCGAGAAGGACGACGTCGAGGTCGAAGACGACGAGGATGCTGAGCAGGCAGGGAATGCTAATGCTGATGGAGACACGCCCATGGCTGAGGACGAGGACGAAGATATGGACGAGGCAGGGCCTGCAAGGAGAGAGCCAAGTGCCACACCTGCTAGAGATGCAGGGGCCAAGGAGAAGACGAAGATCACTTACGACAAGTACATGTCTATTCACAACTTCATGGTACGCAAAGTCAACGAGGATCAACGAGAAGCGGAAGATGGTGTCGAGGAGGAGGACCTTCTGGTGTCGTACCTCGAGTCCAAAGAGCACGAGCTGGAGACGCAAGAAGATATGGAAACAGAACGGACGCTCGCAAAGAAGGTGGTGCGGAGGATGGTTAAGGTATGTTTGATTCTAGGGTCGATACCCTCATTTGAGAGGAGCAAGCTAACAGCTGGCGCAGGACAATATTCTTATGCGCATCCGTGGCGAAGGACTAGCAGACGAGCAAGGCCAGGGTCTGGACATGGACGGCAAGATTGTCTATGTGCTGCATCCTAATTGCGCGGTCGATGATATGTAGCTGGGTCTATGAATAATGACGGTATAGCTGGGGGCATGGCGGTCGCAGGCTTAAAACGAGGCGGTGTTGAGGAGCCATGTTTGACCATCACTGCATTGTTTGGCGTTCAAGTCTACGATACCTTTTTCTAGAGTCGCAATAAGAAGTTTTCAGTTTGATTCTCTTTCTTTCTGCGTTGCTTTCGTCTGTATGTCCGCATACTCTACCAAGCTCCTGCACAAGTTGTACAAAACACCCTTTCATACCTTCCAGCACAGCTGGATCTCTCCTGGCAGTCGTCGCAATTCCACCATGGCGGGAGCCTCAGACTTCAGGGCATCTCTTGCCGTCGCCCGAACACACAAGGAAGTCGTTATCGAATGGAAGAACCCAACCAATATCTTCTCAACCGGTCCCCAAGTCCAGCATCCACTCTTGATCCATCCATCCATCATTACAAACCATTCCGTTCCCCCATCAACATCAAACATGGCTGTCGCCCTACCACAGTACAACTGGATAATCGCCATCATCTCAATCGCTTTCTGCTTTTCATCATTCTTCAACGGCGCCAACGATGTCGCCAACTCGTACGCCACCTCGATCGCAGCGAGATCGCTCACAATGCCCGAGGTCGGCATCCTCTCTATCATCACAGAGTTCGTGGGCGCCGTGGCCCTCGGCGGCCGTGTGATTGGCACTATTCGAAATAACATTATTGACATTAGTCGCTACGAAGAGCGCCCGGCTACGCTGTTGTTGGGCATGGGCTGTGCTGAGGCCGCGTCGGCGACGTGGCTGTACCTTGCGACGATGTGGGGATGGCCTGTGTCTACTACGCAGACGATTGTCGGTGCCCTGGTTGGCATGGGAATCGCGTCTAATACTAGGATTGCGTGGGGGTGGTCGAAGGGCAGTGTCTCGCAGATTGCTGCGTCTTGGGGAGCGGGACCTGTTGTTGCGGGTGCGATTTCGGCAGCTCTGTATAGTACGCTCAAGTTCGGCATTCTTGAGCGGGAGAGGTCGTTTGAGAGGGCTATGGCGGTCATTCCTTGGTATCTGGCCTTCACCGCGGCGGTGCTCGCGCTGTTCATCACGATTGAAGCACCGGGTGTTGGCTCGCCTGAGGAACTGGGAGCTGGCCGTGCTTGTGGTATTGTTTTTGGAGTCTTCCTCGGAGTACTCGTCATTGGCTACGTTTTCTTCAAGCCGTATTTTCATCGTCGACTCGTGCTACAGGATGCACGATGCAGGGTCTACCATCTCCCTCTTGGCCCGCTGCTGTACCGGAAGGATCCTCCACTGTATTTCCCAGGTAATCCCGACGGCGAGGTCGTGATAAACTACTACGCACAGTCTCCTGAGGAGGACCGAGAGAAAAGCTTCGTAGTCATCAGAAAGCCAAACCCAGGTATGCTCGAGCCTCATCCTAGCAACAGGACATCCGAAACAGCAAACAGCAACAGGGCATCTAGAGCCGAAAGCAGCACAGTAAATGGCCTCAACAGCGTCAACAGCTACAACGCAGCCAACCCACGACAAGCAAACAAAGCAGGCGAAGCCGGCATCAGCACACGCAAGCCTCCCCTCGAGCCAGAAGTCCGCTTCCTCGCATCCACAGCCGACCTCCCACTCTACCGCCCAGCTCGACTATGGGCCTACACAAAATACCACCTCCTGCAAGGCGTCACGCGAGACTGCGTCAGCCACGCGGACAGCCACGTGCAAGCAGTGCACGCCCGCGCCAAACGCTACGACAACCGCGTCGAGCACCTCTGGACCTACGCCCAAGTCGCCTCGGCCATGATGATGTCAATCGCGCATGGCTCCAACGACGTCGCCAACGCCGTTGCCCCCTGGGCCACGGCCTACGGCATCTACCAGACCGGCCTCGTGTCCGAGGGCAGCAAGACGCCTACGTGGATCCTCGTTGCGGCTGGCGCCCTGCTCGGCATCGGGTTCTGGTTTCAGGGCTACCATATCATTCGGGCCATGGGCAATAAGATTACGCAGATGAGTCCGACGAGGGGCTATGCGATGGAGCTGGGCACGGCGATTACGGTTCTGATTGCTAGTCGGATGGGCTTGCCGGTTAGTACGACGCAGTGTCTTACTGGGGCGACGATTGGGGTTGCGTTGATGAATCTGGATGTCAAGGCGTTGAATTGGAGGCAGATTGGCTTTATTGGTGTTGGGTGGGTGTTGACGCTTCCGAGTGCGGGATTGTTGGCGGGTTTGGCGATGGGGATGGCGCTGAATGCACCGCATTTTTAGGACATGTGGCGGGCTGTGGTGGATTTGCTGCGCGATAACGTGTGTGTGTGTGTGTACGTGTGTATGTGGATTATGTGGCATAGGCTTGGGTTTTCAGGGGGGTGCTGCGAGGTATCTTTTCTTTCTTTCTTTCTTTGTTTCTGAAGTCAGGGACTCGGTATTGTATCCTCGCTCCAGAGGAGATATGATTAGCTTAGCTGTGTGTTTTTAGAATAAATACTACATGCAAGTGTACTCTATCCAGTTTAGTCTTTTGTTTTTCAACCTAAGGCCAAGCCCATTGAATATGCACTTTAGAGGTAGGTCAATAGGTAGGTAGGTAGGTAGGCAGGTGCATGAGGGACCCTTGGGAAGGAGAGCATGAAATGACGTCTAGCTAGATGCAGGTCACACACACCTCACACACACCTTCTCACACGCGTTCGTTGGTTGGTTCAGCATGGGTATGGATATGGACATGATGGGCAATATGATGACGTATTTTTTTGCGTGTGACTAATTAGGTTCTCCGGCTTGTGTGCATTGATTCGGATATACGGGACTGGGTTGGGCTGGACTGACTGGTTGGCTGGCTGTTCGTGATAATTACTTACTTACTTACTTAGTATATATATACATAGCACATACGAGGACTGTTTGACTCCGCGTTTCAGGACAAACTTCAATGTAATGGAAGCAGTGGTGGGTGTTGCGTACGGGAGAAGAAGGAAGGAAGGAAGGAAGGAAGGAAGGAAAGAAAGAAGGAATGAAGGAAAGAAGGAAAGTAAGAGACAAAGAAAGAAAGTAAAATACAGGTAAAATACAAGAAAACGACTAGTATTAAAAACAACCCTCCAAACCAAAAAAAATTGTGAAAGGTAATTATATCCGTTTTGTTTTGTTTTTTGTTTTGATTTATTTGCTGGGGGCCAAAGAAACCAACAACACCCCGGCGGTCCTTTTTTTTTTCTGTTGTGTGCACAACAACACCGGTGTTGAAAACTGAGATGGGTTTGGGGGGGGATATTCTGAAGATCTGGGTGGTTGAGGTAGTAGAGGTTCTGATGGATGTGCTGAGGTGCACTTTTATGTGCTTGATTGATTGATTGAGCCTGGGGATTGATATATATATCACGACGAGACGAGCGTTTGGGAACTTGTTGGTGTTTGTTTGTTTTTTTCAATCAGTCATTTCTTCTAGTATGTATAAGTCAGATCGGGCCTTTGAATCTGCTGTTTCGTTCAGTTGTGATCCTGCCCGCTCTGGAGGAGGGAATTGGTTAGGGCTGAGGAATGGACCAGTGACTTCGCTGCTGGTGGTAAATGGGATGTAGTTATTTCGTCAGTCAGTCCGTTCGTTCGTTCGTTCTTTGTTCACTGCTGAGGAATTACTATGGGGGTGTGATGGCTGGGCAAAATGTCATGGTGCACCTAGCCCAACCATCACGCAAAGTCTACGCGTCAGGATTCCGTTCCTGCCTCGCTCTCGCCGTCTTCTTGTATACGAGCATCTCCGCGGATGTGTAGCGGTAGGAAATGATTTTGAGGGGGGGTGGCTCTGCTGAAGCTCTGCTCTGCTCTGCTTTAGGACGTAGCTGTGCTTCCGGAGTCACAGCAGACAGCACATGTCCGATACATACATACTTAGAGCATCACCACGCGAAGGAAAAGCACACACACGCACACACACACACACACACACAAGGGCCGGCAATCAGAGATCCCGTTGCTGTCACTCACCAATTGCCACCGGGGATACAACTTCCATATCAGGTATCAGTGAGCATGAATCAGCGAGAGGCTCTCGGAGACGCGGGCAATTTTCCCAAGATGGTCTCTTGCTGGGCAAGCGGGGAACTTGTGGGGATGGAGATATTTTCTTTTGAAGTCGCTCGTCGATCTCGTGGGGATGCCGGATTTTCCCATTTATTTTTGGGGAGGCTCGCTCGTCGATCACATCCATCTTGTCCGCGGATGGCTCCACTGGGGAGTTTCGTAAGTTGTGGGTAATTAGGTCGGGGAGTGAGTGGGAAGCGAAGGATGATGATATGCCTGTTGTGCAGCAGGGCTGCTGCCACGGCGAGGGCGAAAGGCGAGGCGGGTGGGGCAGAATGCAGCGGAACGGACATGATGCAGTGCAGTAGAGTACAGTATGTTAAGCTGGGGCTGGGTCTGTCGGTGAGTTTCGACAAGCAGTGAAGATCGTGCAGGAGCAGTGCGTTTGAGCATGCGCGATGCGATCTGAGAGCACGAGGATATTAATAGCTGAAGGTTTGTGTTGATGAATAACAGTTAGGTTCCAGAACAATGATCAGGCAGGACACGTGCCAGAATGAGCCGCATCCACATATCAGTCCGAATGCCATTGCTGCATATAGTATCCATGTAACCGTCTGGTCGGTCCCCAATGACGGGCTTGGGACAACAAAAAGGCTTTCCTGACCCACGTATAATGACAAGACTGATTTCCACACTGCAGCTGCAGGGGCGTGCGAAGGTGTAACTTTTGGTTCCCGAATAGGCAATGCTCCAGTACAAGGCTATGGATTGACCGCTTAGTTCTGCCAGATGTTGGGTGATAGTCCGACGTTTGACAGGGGGTCCCTGCTTGACGTTGCCGGGATCTTTTTACCGAGTACGAGAGAGATTCGTTCGTACATGGTCCGGCAGCAGGCTTGAAGGCTAGAAATTGTAATCCGGTGCCAGCGGCATCGATACGAGCTGTCAAAAGTCAGATCGACATTCCTTAGCTATTCTTTGCAGTTCAAACATCATGTTGTGCTCAGTACGTTTGGCAATCTCACGACAGCTTGTAATAGGGGCTCTTCAGCCTTCTTGCCGATCTGCAGCGGAATCCGGGGAGTAATAACGGACCGCTGTACCATCAGGAAGTAAAGCCGGAAAAGCAAGTGGGTCATGGCATTGACGCATGGTCTGGACTGGGCGGTCGATTCAACGGTTTCGAATTATTCTTCTGAAGCACTTGGGACGGTTTGCTGTCTAACGATGGCAATTGCATGATTTATGGCTCTAGCCTGGGCCACCATGCCCTCGCGAGCAACAGGCACCATCGACACCGCTTCAGGAAAGAGGACCGCATGTACTATCAGAGGTCTGGTGACAGAATCAACGCATGAGTCTGCTGTACTACTGTGTAGACATTAACGCCCTGAAGCACGTGGGTCTGTACTGGTAAACTTTCCAAATGGTCACACAGTTCCACAGCATCCATGAAGAAGCGAGTCCTGAAAGCGAAATGAAGAAGGATGCACAGAGCAATCGGAACATGACTTCCTTGCAATTGGCATGGATTAGACTTCTGCCTCGATCTTGACCAGTGGAAATGGTTAGCTGCTCCACGCTTCAAGATTTGACTGAAATGATGCGACGAACAGAGAGGATTTTTCGAAAAAGTGTGGATAGGCTTGGCATGGCAGACAAGCACACGGGAGCATGCGCTGAAGGCCTAAGCTACTTTTCGAAGACTGTACGACTCGTGAAGTAGGAGAAGTCCCAAAGACTGGAATCTATCTGTCAGCATACGAGAATGGCCTTGAAGACGAATGGTAAGTGGCAGAAAGGGCAATGTTGACATAAGGATCGGTTGATCGCCATGGCACTGTTGGTGCGAGATTTGTCAAGCATCCGCCTGTGGTGAACTTGGCAGACTTAAGATGGTATGTGTCCGTGCTCTTGAATGGCCATCCATTTGAAGAAGCACGCGCAAAAGCAGAATTGCTACTCTCTGCCTCGCATCAACACATGACTGATGGAAGTTGGCGATGTGTGGGCTCTTGGAATAGGCGCCGGGAACAGGGCGCAGATTGAGTCGCGACAGACGTCAAGCGAACGGCCACGACTTGCCCAGCAGCATCGTCAGACCCAGGCGAGTGGGAAGATGAGACAAGTGGCATAGGTTGTAGGCATTAAGCATGCAGGCATAATGCAGGCGTCCCAGCAATCTGAGCAGGCAAATGGATGGTCGGCGGAGGCGAGCTGGCCAGTGGGCGTCACGACCGGTAGCCGCGAAGGTATGATTCGTCTGATGCTGGCCTTGTGGCTTCTTCACCACAACAACAAATCATATTATGGATGGATGCATAGTTGTGCAATCCCAGCATGCAGCAGATGCAGCAAGTTGATGCTGATTGTGTTGATGTATGTGACGAGGGTGTGGCGTTTGGCGTTTGGCGTTTTGTATCGTAGAGGTGGAGCGGTCAGTCGAGCCGGAGAGGCGTGAACTCTCTCTCTCTCTCTACGTACAGTTACAAGACTCAACGAATGACGGAGCTTCAATTTCCGGTGTTTCCAGCCGAGAGAGGCAAAGCCAGATAGGATGGTCGGAGACAGAGAGCGAGGAATGGAGATGTTGAGAGGCTGGCGAGAAGACGAGAGTGTAGAGAGAGAATGAGAGATGAAGGCACGGCTGCAGGCTGCGGGCACAGGACAGGCTGCCCAGTGCAGCGGAGCGGACATGAGAAGCTAATTATGTATACTGTATTAGTATGTATTACATAGCTGGCGTTGGCGCTCGCACTGGCGCATACCAGCGTGTTGGTGCCAGTGGGGCTCTTTTGCCTGTAACTACATACCATTCTACGCCGCCCCGGGGCTGGGGAGTGATACTCAGATACCGTCGATTGTAGGGCTAAATGGCGCCCCCCCGATCCCCCGTCACTACTGCCTTTTAGCTGCCTTACTCCCCTCTCTCCGGCTGGCCCTCCCCCCCCCTGGTCGCCCGGCTCGCTTTGCCTGCTCAAACATACAGTCTCTATAAGGTTACCTTCCAGGTTAAACTATTACAACCGCTATCCCATGCCCATTCAATTATCCACTGCTCGCCCCCCTCCGCCTTTTCTGCTTCCCTTATTACCATCTCGACTTCTTCTTCTTCTTCTTCTTCTTCTTATCACCTCCTCGCCGCTCTTACGCCCTTTCGTCCCTGGTATTAATCTCTCTATATCTTGACACATGGAGCCGCCCAAGACCGTGTAACCGGATCTACACCCTTTCTCTGCCTCGCCCCCCCACCAAACTCATCGTTCGCTGCCCGGTCCTGAGGCTCGGTCTATAAGCACCCACTTCTCCCGGCGCGCTGGTATCGCGAGATCATCTGTCCCAGTGCTGTCAACCCTAACCCATATCTGGTATTCATGGACCAGGAATCGCCTTCTAACAAGGACAAGTGATTGCAGTGTCCTGTCAATCCCCCCTAGGACAGCCCTGTTTACTACCACACTGCACACAATGTCTAACCAGCCTGCCTCCTCACCGGCTGCTGTCGATTCATCTACGGACAAGAGACGAAGCTTTGGCAGATATGTCAAGAGATTGAGCTCCGTGTTGCGAAGAGGCAGCTCCAAGAATGCAATGCCTGGCTCGTCCTCAACTGCACAATCTGCTGCTGCGTCTGCTACACCGGTAACCACAACTACGGCTGCTATAGCTCCAATTGCCGAGACAATGTATGCGCCCTCTGCTGTAGCCTCTCAAAAAGTCCAAGTTGCTGACATGCTCCATAGCGATGAGCTACCAATACCACAGCCTCAGCTTGTATCAACCTCTGCCAGCCCGTCAACAGTCCCGGGAGCATATGCTAAGAGCGCGATTCAGCAAGAACGCGCACGCGCACTCTTTGCGAAATACGGGTTGACGTTGGAGGCTCATGAATGGGTGGCTACAGCTACTACTACCCATGTCCAAAGAGTTGAGAAGCCAATTCGTATGCGCGTCCATCGAACGTGCCACAAATGCGAGACTTCATTTGGCTTGGACAGGTCGTGCAAGAACTGTGAACACCGGCGCTGCAAGAAGTGTCCTCGATACCCACCGAAGAAGGACCGGACAGATAGGCCAACGGAGATCGAAGATATCCAGATGCAGACGGCTGACGCTATCGGAGAACTGAAGAAACGACGAAAGAGTAGCACTCCATACTTGACAATCACGAGCAAGTCGGGCGGAGAACTGGTTTACGCTCCAACCCGACAGCGGATCCACCGAACGTGTCACAAATGTCACACTCACTTCCAGCCTGTCACCGCCGCAGTATGCCACCATTGCCAGCACTCGCGATGCACCAAATGTCCGAGAGAACCGGCAAAATCCAAGAAATGGCCCGAAGGCTACCCGGGAGACGCGCCATATGAAAGCTCGGAGGAAGAAATGCCCACCATAAATCGAACCTGGAAGAGGCCGCGGCAAAGGATTCGATGGACGTGCTGTTGCTGCGAAAGCCTCTTCACCACAGGTTCGAGGACTTGTACGTGCAGTCATGAGCGCTGTGAGACGTGCACACGACAACCGTAAGTGGCTGGATGATCAAAAATGGATCTCAACAACCTCACAAAACTAACGAGCTGCAGTCCCAAAAAACCAAAAAAAGAGTTTGACCCAGAAATCGTCAAGTCGGTCGAAGAGAAGCTGGAACGCTTCAGAATCGAACGCACGGCAGGCACGACCTCTCTTCCATCTTTCACTTAAACCATATATTCTCTTTCCATCTAACGATCCACGACATGACGATTTTCTACTCAAGATGTTTTTATCTATTCGAGACTCTTGTCACATATATCACCAGCGGTGCGATCTACCAAACTACAGCCAAATACCATACTATTATACGTGGTACAAGTCACATGCTCTAAACCTGATCCATTCCCACTTTCTCGTATTCCCGTCTGTCTTAATTAATTCCCTTCTAACCCCACGGTACCGAGTAAACCTTCTCTCGCGGTGCGGCATACGGGCATAGGGCTTGCCCAACCCGCCAAAGTGGACGCGTGAGGAAAGGCCCGAACTGTGCCGCAGTCATACAGCTCCTGGCGCAAGCCTCTACCAACTCTGACGCTAATTACCCAGCAATCTATTCCTGCAGCTCAGGCGCTCTCGCTGACCTATCGTGGCCCTCCTTGATCCCAGGGTTGGCGGTCCAGTCGGCGAGTCGGGACTGCAATATCGTATTCAATGGCCTCGTCAGCGGCGCCTATCGTACCAGCACACCTCATGATCGGTCCACGGTGGGGTTGGCTGGAATGACAGACATGCATGATGCAAGGTTTTGATCTTCTCGGATCGGCCGCCTGCTGGCTGGTCCTGTCATCCACATACACACATAACTCACCCACTCACATGATCGAAGATTCGCAAAAAATGCAGTAATTATAATCCCGTTTCTGTCTTCTCTAGGGGGCTGGCTGGACTGCTTCACATCGATTGAGCAGGTCGTCTTAGCACACTGTATCTCTTCCTAGTCTGGCCTCCTTGTCGTCGTCGCACAAGAGCGCCCCCGGTCGTGTGTAGGTGTGTGTGTGCACAGCGCGTTTCCGGCTACGTGGATTGGGGGTAATTATACACGTGGCCAGGAAACGCAGCGCTGGTATTTGTGTGGAGTGGAGCGGAGCTTTTGTGTTACTTGTAAGTCGCGTGGGAGCGTGTTGTACGGAGGCGGCAACGTGAGACATTTTTTTTTAGGTTTATTTTCTCTCGTGGCGAGCAGAGTAGCGTTGGTGATGGGGTTAATGAGAGAGAGAGAGAGAGTAGTCGGTAGATTATGGTGTGATGAGGTGTATAGATATAGAGAGTATTGTGTACTGTTATCAACTAGTGGAGTGTGTCTCCTCCCCCGTCTACGCGCTTACCTAGACTCATGTTATGTTCCATGTCGATAATAGTCAATCCTGCGTCTTGCCTTCGCACACTCACCTTATTATCACTAATATATATACCATGCATGCCTTGTCATACTACCTCCTCCCGCCTATACCTATACCTATACATCACATCACATCGCAATGTAATATAATAGATCCATGATCCCCGTCTGAATAGAAGCAACCAGGGCTACTAGGTCCTCCACGCTTCTAATACCTAATTACTGCCTAGCTAGCTAGGTATACCCAGCTCTAATTATTACCTTGGCTAGCTAGCTATGAGTATGTATGTACAGTATGTATGCTGCTATATGACGAGCCATACGCCGTGCATGACGGGATATACGGATCTATGGCCGTGATGAGATCTACGCTGCTTGAGGCGGGGTGAGGCGCGTGGTGGTCTTGGATATACTTGCTTGGTAGTTGGACGGAGGACTTGGGTTCTGGGGATGGGTGTTTGATGGGGTTTGATGGGGTTTAGTGGGCTTTTTTATAGACTGTGTACGGACTTGTATATGTAATTCGTGCTTTATGTTAGACTGAATGCTTTCTGGTACTTTGCATAGCATCCTATATAGTATACTATACTATGATATACCATACCACACCATCCTAGACCTAATTCTATCCAGCCTCTATCCATCTAAATCCCAGCCTCTATCCATCTAAATCCCAGCCTCTATCCATCTAAATCCCAGCCCCTCTCCAAAGCCCAATCCATGTCCCTCCCAGTCCAAGTCCCAGTCCCAAGCAAAACCGCGCCAATCCCTCCCTCCCTTCCCAAAAAGTAGCACACCATACAACGAGTCATACATCTATCCCATACCCCATGATCCATGCAGCCTTGCCCAGCGCACGGTCCGCTGGAAAACAGCCCTTTTTTTCTTTTACTTTTCTTATTGTGGTTGTGTGATTCATCGTTGATTGTAGATAGATTTACGTGTGTGTGGGTGGGTGAGGTTGGGATGGGCATTGGGTGGATATATCCTCGTCCGCACTGTTCTGCAAAATTGTCTAATCATGGTGTGAGTTCAGGTTTAGGAGGTGTCTCGCTGGCTCGCTAATTAATAACTGGAGCGGGTAGAAGTTCGAGACCGGGATATCTCCGAAATGCTAAAGAAAACTAGAGTTCGTTTCCGATCTATGCCCGCCGCCGTCGCCGCCGCCGCCCGGGCTCGGCTCGGACAGATTGTGTGCTGGGTGCGTGCTGGGTGCGTGCTTGGGCTATGATGAAGTCTGCTATGCGCTATGTGTGCGCTGTGTGCTGTGCTGTGCGCTGTGCTGAGTGCTGTGCTGAGTGAGGCCTCTCCTACTCCTTCTCCTTCCTCCTTCCTCCTCCATTCTAGTAGTTATCTGTGCGTGGGGCTAGGTATCAGGTAGGAAGGAAGGAAGGAAGCCCGCCACTGAGCAGAGAGTGGGGTTTGGGGTGGGCTTACGCGCTTGTAGTGGTCGTGCGTGGGAGCCAGCCCCGACGACACGCGCCGAGCCGTTCCGAAAGGAAGATGAGTTTTGGGGGGGGAGGGAGGTACGGAGGGGGTTCGTGTACGAGGTACGATTTTGGGGAGGTGTGTTGGTTTGAGGAGGGTTGGGTCTGGGTTGTGGCTTGGGCTTGGGCTTGCAAGGGCTTTGAGGGTGGAGGTGGAGGTGATTGGAAGGGGACCGGGCGGATGGAATGGGGAGATGAGTTGTTTGATGGTTTCTTGAGACTTGTGTGAGGCTGGATGGCGATGCTGGGCAGAAGCTCTAATTAGGGGCAAAGGGGAGGAGGGGGTCCGGGAGTTTCGTAGAGAGTGGTATTTTGAAATGTTTTGATTTCAAATGCTTCCTCGTCGTTTATGTTCGTGTTCGGGTCGCTGGTGTTGGGCGTTTTCTTGAGGGAGGATGGATGGGATATAGGAGACTGTTCACCCTATTATCGACAGAACAACGACGGCTGGTTACGAAAAATACCAGATTCCTCCCCTCCATTGTATTTGAAATCTATCGTGACTCAGCTTGGCGTTGGGCGAAACCTCCATATGGTCCCTTCAAAATAAGGTTTGCAGAGTGGATACCAGCTGCCCTCGAGATCGACACGACACCCCCCAGCCTCGTTGCCCCTAATCAATTACCCCACGATACCACAACATGCTCTCATTAGCTCATGTGCCAGAAGTAAACTTTTTAGGCCAAATCATCGGCTTGGGAAGTTTGGTCCGCCAACGACACGCCAGATTGCACCAAGGATGTATTCTTAGAATAATTAGGGTTCGAAGGTGCATGTCCATGTGTTGTAGACAGGACGGACAGCTTCATTCTCGTGTTTCATTCCCCTGAAACCGTGCCCCTGGTCTTGGTAAGATGAGGTATTGAACCATGGAACCGAGGTTCGAGGCGCGTGCTGCACGCACGTATGAGTTTGATCGATCTGGCATGCTGTATAATTAGCACCAGTAGCAGGAGCCTCACAGCGAGACAATAGCGAGACAATGTTAGCAGAGCAGCTGCGTTTGATGTGGGTAAAGCACTTACAAGTGAAGAACCCTTGGTGTATGATACTGGAATCCCCAACAACACAAGCCTGGCCAGGGTGTGTGTTCATTCCTTTACTCATAGATACTCACCCAGCCCGCAAGCCCGGTCCAGTCTGGTCTGTTCTGCTGCATCCATCCATCCATCCATCCCACATCAAAAAAGGCACATCCCGCGAGAAAAGGACGAAATAAGCGGAACCCACCCGAGAAAGCTTCATGCAAATCGCTCCTGTCGCGTCGCGGTCGCGTGTAAGCGAGCAGCTGAGAGCCATATAATGGATCCATAGACAGCTGTCCGAACGTTCTACTAATTATGCCTCAAAAGGCAACATCGGCCCTTCCACCTGCCAGCGAGGCTCGAGAAGCCCATGCTCTGAGAACGTTGGCTTGCAGCACCAAAACACTGGACGTTTGGATGGATGGATGGGATCCAAGCTACAGTACACATGGTGTCGGGATGCTCCGCTCGGTATCCTCCGGAGCGGTTTGCTTTCGTTAGCAAAGCTTTTTTCTCTCGTCCGACCGCCGTTGAGATATTTAGTTGGGTGTACGCCACAATGACTGCTTTTGGGGCATCTCCCGGCCCCCGGCCGAGCGCCTTGCTGGCTACGATTCCTTCCACCGAAGCGCTTTGGAAGCCGGGAAGCCAGAGGATCGGTTCGAATTTTCTTTTTTTTTTCTTTTCTTTTTCTTTCTTTCTTGGTCGAATTCATGCTCGATCCGGGGAAGGTCACGTTGTTGCAAGTCTAGGCTGAAACTGTGCCTGAGGCATGGATTATATGTTCACGACACACAAGAGAGATATACAGACAAGTCTGTTATATTATAATCACCGTGGACTCTTTGCGGGCGGCTTTGTCTACTGCACAGAGCCGGCTATAAACACGAATTCGTCTTAATATCCACTTGACTTATTTCGAGCCAATATAATCTCGTCCCAGAACGAACTTGAGCAACGGGGCCTGTATTATGCGCGGACGGGCAATTCCTACAAACAGGAGAATATGCTCCGGTAGTACATACAGGTAGATGAATGCGATTGTATCCAGAAGGCCGTACAAATATCAGGTTGACACAGGACGGTCACTAGCACCAGCAATGCAGTTCATTCGCCTGGAAGAATCTATCTGAGAATGTCGATACCGCCCTTGATTACACTTGAAGTCACCTGTAGCACGTACGTTCTAGACGATAGCGCGACCCAATCCATGGTACGTTGACTGAGCCTTTATGTCTGAAACCATGGGACTGGCATTCCGGGTCTTCCGAACAAGGTTATAAGGAACGCACTGCTTCGCAGAAAATCTTTCTTTTTTCCTTTCTATATCCTACTCGCATACTGGAGCCCTTCACAGGAAATCTTTCTTTTTTCCTTTCTATATCCTACTCGCATGCTGGAGCCCTCCACATATAAGCCTTGTCATGCTTTCTAGTTCAAAAACCTCGAATGTCCCCGGAACTCATCTCTCACGCCTCGGTGACAATTCTTTTTTCTAAAACTTCCTTCGCGGTGTAGTGCACTCTCAGCAATGAGCGTAGCAAATGGTACAGACAGGGAGAAAGAGCTTCACATAAGGTCTTTCTTTCACTTGTGTCATGATGGGTTCAAGAACGTAGAGGTGTGTCAACTCCAGTACAATCTGAAATCTGACATCTGCATGACTTTTCCATTTGAATTTGGGAAACTGCTAACATTCAGACCATAGAGAGGCAGATGTCGTTAAATCTGAATCGAGCATCATGACTGCCTCTCTCGAGGTCGAAGCCATATTATCCACAGACCATGTCCTTACATATTCACATGCAACCTGCTGCCATATTGCTCCAAAGCTCCATAAATCCTCCGAGTCGACCCCGGAGCTGACATATTGCCCCTTATTACACGACCTTCACATCCGATTCTCACACCCGACTGCCACACCCAACGTCAACACCGCAATGTCTTTTAGCTGCAGAGAGATCTGGCCTAGGAAGATCGATGCCTATAATAGTTATCAGGCGACAAGGCCCTCGTATCATAGCAACAAGAGATCAAGCATACCTCGGAGTGCGGCCGAACTTGCCAAATACGGTGCCATGCTTGCCCTCATGACCACATGAAGGTCCCGCTGGACGCACTGGAGGCATGTCAACTAAGTCCTTGGTAGCCAGGAATCTCAATCAAAACTTGAGTCCAACGAGCTGTAGACATACTGTCGGGCCTCTTTCATGCTTGTTCGACGAGCAGACAATCCCCAATGACAAGGAATCCTAATTGAACGGAACTCCAACATTGACGGCTGTGTGTCGGTATTTGAAAGCCTTGATCGAGCCGGTGCTTCCCTCTTCGGTGAGGTATGCGTTCAACAGGAGGTAGGATATGATCGTTGTACTGTAAGTCCCCCTCTCAATTAGTAAGGCGTATATATCATCGAGGATGAGGAATAACACTCACAATGAATGTGATGAGCTGCCTCATACATGGATAATGTCGAGTCGTATTGCATCGGCGAGCTTCGAGCTTTGGCGATTTTATATCAACTGTCAGCCACAAGGCTGATAGTACGTCCCCCTGGACACCTGGAGGCCATCATCATGGGCAGGATGGGGCCCCAAGTAGGTGTTCAGCGCAATCTCCCCTGGTTCATGGCCACCTAGGTATGGGAGTAGCACCTAGGTGGTGGTTCTTCCTATCACAAAAAAACGAAAGAAACACAGGGTCAAAAGTTAACAAGGGACGCACCTTTGCATTCAATCTGAGATATCCATTTGGCTGAATTATGAAATCTGAGACTGACTCTGAGATGACGACTGGGTCTTTGGTACTGAGAGTTCATTTCAAAGAGAGTGGAAGCTGCTAACGGTTGTATGTTTAAGCAGGTCAAGGACTCGAACAGTGAGGCGAATCGAATAGCTAAAGATGGAACTTGAAGTTGAAGAGTTGAGAAGATATAGGTATTCCGGCCGTAGAACCGCGAGGAGGATGTTTTATCGATGGATGAGCTGTTTCTTTACAGATCAAGATACGAGTTCCAAGGTCAGAGAGTGGGAGAACAGTCATGGACATTCTAAGAAGAAGTGCAGGAGGAACTGGAAGATGATGATGAGAAGTAAGATGGAAAGAAGATGAAGGGACAAGAGTGGTAGACCTTCTTATAAATAAAGGCTACTTGGCTAAGCAAACTTTAGGCAGTCGTTATAGAGACGACGGAGTAGCTACAAACGAAGTTGAATAGAGTGTTGGGCCTCTTGTCTCGCTCTTGCACTGCATATCCACCGTATGAAGTATGAAGGCATTCCTTGAGGAAGTAACCTGTATTATAGATTAATGACAGGAGCATCCTGACAACACTGGGTTTCGCTCTTTGGCTAGGGCTTACCGTTAGCAGGCGTCGCTTCTTACTATGCGCCTGCTACCGCTTACAAGGTACAATCTGGACTGTATCGACCAGAGGGATATCACAACAAAGATGTGCGCAAGATAACAGTCGAGACCAGCCTTTGACTACCTGAAGATCAAGTTCTACCTTGTTCATTGCGATACATATCACTCCCATACAACGGTGAATGTTGTTTTGCAGGCTTTAATGATTCTTAATCTAGAATATGGCATTAGGAATATCCATAGTCATATTGTTATGACTAGTGTCAGTAACCGTCGCAGTATACACATACAAATTCAAGAGATCTTGGATTCTCTCCTTGGCACATGGATTCAATTACCATTAGGAGATGCACATCGACTGCGGCCATTAAACTTGATAGATATAAGCTATCTCTCCTCTCTAGAGACTACACTCCGGGCTGACCAGTGAGTGAACGGGGGTAGTGAAACAATGGGTACACAAATCAGGCGTCATGTATGATTTTATGACTTGTATCACCATTCACGTAGGCTTCTGTCCCATCATGATCGTATTTGGGGGGACCTGAAAACCCTCCACTCTTTGATTGAAGATGATCACATTCTTGAGGTAAGTCAGTAATGTACACATGATTATCCCACAGGGACGTACTCCGTCATGATCCTCCACAGTCGCATCCTTCAATCCCCAAGGCTTGACACTCACACTCCCCTTTACAAGTGCCTTCTTCTCAACCAGCTTTTGATGTAGCATTTCCAACTCATCAGCCTCGCCTCCAATTGTGATATAGATCTTGCCACACTGAACATCATTCTCGATACCGGGGAAGCCACGCTTACGAAGATACACATTTACTGCGGCATCATATTTGCCGACGGATTCGTCGTCGACGATTTGGAGCCAGCAATGGTTGTCGCCGTCTCTGCCGGCAAGGCGGAAGCCTAGGATTTCAGTGTAGTATTCTATGGCTGAGGGAATATTGGAGACCGGGAGGGATGGAGTGATCTTCGTGAATCTGGGTGCCATGGTTTTTGCAAACTCCAAGATAAGGTATGATGACAGTATTTACCATTATTTCCCAGTCTCCCAAGCACGTCGTCGTGTTATGATAGAGCAATGTGGGGTTTCCGAATTAGGTCAAGCCACTGAGGGCACGAGCGCAGGGGTCTAGAACGAGTACGACATGGCTTGAGGAACTTTCTAGATGGTAGGTAGACACAACATGAAGCCTACGTGATTTATTTTGAAGTCGAACTTCGTAAAATGCCTATGAGTGTATTTCGAGCCCCCAACAATGTATCAAGGCTAGAAAACAACGTCATCCATAATGAATGAAAGCTCTGGAGACCCGCTAACACCCGCGTCAACGGATTCGTCGATCCCCATCACATGCTAGCTTTTACAAAATCGACGCTTCAGTCTTCAACATCACCTCAACCAAACCTTCTCAGGTACCTCCACACAATCTCTGCTCTATAGCTAAATTCTCGCTACGATACTACGTACATACCAGTACTCTTACATCTTCGTCTTGCGAACCGACAATGGCGGCCGCGACTGACCTGATCTCATGCACGATATAGCAAGCTTTACAACGCGGCAATGGCAAAGCCGCGAGAGCTCGCCGGCTCATTCGTACCGACGCCCGAATCTCTAGCATCATCGTCAACCTCCCGATCACGCTCCGCAAGCCGAAATCCGGACTATAAAGATGGTCTACGAAGTAGTTCGCGTCCAGGATCTACCTCAGAGGTCCATCCCCATCATGCGCACCATGTCAGATACTCCGAATCCACCCAAGCAGGGACTATCATGGACCCAGAGCGGGTAGACCACCAAGATTTTGCCAAGAAGAGACAGAGTCGCATCAAGCGGTCTGGGGGCTTTCTATTGGAATCTGCAATACCAGGTCTCAGGCGAAGAGTCAGCGGAGAAAGTAAGCAACGAGAACAGGAATACGAAGGCCGGGCTGTAGAGAATGGGCAAGAACTAAGTGCCGATGCTGAGAAATTGAAAGTATCAAAGACAAGGAAGCGCACAGTTCAAAGCTCGCCACTTTCCAGAGAGACGATGAAACCTGAAATTGAAGACGTCAAGAGGACCGATCACACGAGTTTCTCATGGCAGGAGGGGCTCGACACAAAGAGGCAAAGTCAAAAAACCACACATGTGCACGAAGATAGTCACACATGGCCAAGTGCTACATCCAGTCATCAGAACTCCCGCCGACCTGCGCCCGCGATCGACCCGACTCAGATCGTGAACATGGCTTTGAACCTAAGCGAAAGTAGGAGGAGGAATATCAGTGTCGGCCAGGTAGCTGTTGGACCCATGGCAAATTCGCGACGAGCTGTTTCGAGGACTCCAGATAACTCAATGCTCCTACAAGGCAGCTACCACAGCTCGAATACGGGAGGAAGTTTGAAACAGCATCTACAACAGCAGCGTAGATCTTCGCGAAATATATCTCCCGTAACTGGGAGATCTTCTCCACGAAGTCGACATACTTCAACACCACACTCCGTGGTTTCGTCTGATCCTTCTGTCACGATGCTAGAGAACCAGGAGGTCTCTTACAGGTTCTCAGATGCGACTCTAGCAAGGGCCACAAAGGCACGTGCCTACTTGGAATTGTCAATCGAACACAGGCGGTTATTACAGTACCTACCGCCCTTGAAACCCGATTTTCTCGCGCCGGGTAACTACCAGGTGTCATCAAGCAGTGTACCTGGCACGACCTCTGTCGAGCTTCAGCGGTCAACTTCGAACAAAACAGCGAAGTTTCCCTTGGGTCGACAGTACAACCCTCTTCAGCTAATCCGCAATCGAAAGATGAGAGCGCGGGAGAGGCGCCCTCTGGATACCGAGCCCGAAGACTTCGAGGATGTTCTTCGCACACGGGTATGGGTAGATGGTGTCGAAGAAACTTCAAAACGCCGCAGTTACCGAAAGCTTGACTCGGTGAATCTGCCTACATTTGGCCACAGTAGCGACTTCCAACGAAGCGCAAACAACACGGCTATGCCAGGGCAGAAACGACCCAAAATCGAGTGGTCATTCTCGCCGGGTGAGCTCTTTGCTGACGCATATTGGCTCGAACAAAACAGCAATAAGGCAGCCATAGTAAATCGAAATGGCAACAAAATCTTTGACTCAAGGCGACCTCAGACTGCCATACCGCCTCGCGTAAGCGCAGAAATATCGCGAACGATGCAGAGGACCAACACGAGTTCCAACGAGTCGTACGATGGAGGGAGATCGGATACGTACACTGCCGAGGACAGTGATGCACAAAGTCATCGCGGCCGTAAACGAAGACTGCTACGGGCGGAAAAGCACGGGTGGCACGGAAGACATCGCTCACGAAGCTCCTCAGGCTTGTCTTCATCTGATGATGAATCTAACAGACTCATGAGCCTATCGCACCGCCGTACTGGAACTATAGACCTGAATACAGGCCCTCTGCAAAGCCATCTCAATGACTTGATTGAGCGGGAAAAAGGCATGATCTCTCCAGAGGTCGAATCGCCGGACCACTGGGGCTCTGGGCATGTGTCTTTGACTGGCGAGGTTATTTCACCTTTGCGCAAATCATCCGTCGTATCGGATGGATTTGAAGGGAGTGGAGCTATGAAGAAGAGGCCAACGCACCTGCAGGCAAAACATTCTGTCGAAGGTCCTGAAGAGGCCATGAGGAATCGATCATCATATGAGGACCTATCATCTGCTCCAAACTCGCCTGGATTTCCACGATTCCTCCCTCAAGGTCGCATCGACAGTACGCCTCCTTCCAGTCGGAGAGGTAGTCTATCGAAAGGTAGTACAAAATATAAGCTTGGCACCTTCCGTTCAAGCAATCCCCATGATGGCAATGATTCGGCCCAGGACGCGGATCATACTTCTAATTCGCGACAAACGAGCGGCGATAAGTTGTCGAATGCTCCAGGCGCGAAGTTCATGCCTGCCATCGGTGTGAAGCATCTCTTCTCACACAAACGTAACGAGAGCCGCAATAGTATCGTAGAGCGGATAGATACTCATGTCCAAGACGAGAAGCGCGAGTCCAAAGAGACCAAAGAACCACAATCCGCGGTCACTCGGTTCCTCAAGGGCGTAAAGAACGAAGGATCAAAGGTCGGCGACTTCATATTTCGAAAAGAAGCAGGTGATGATACAGTCTCGTCCTCAGATTCGGACCTCGACGTATCTGATGTTGGAGAACAATATCGAGCAGAAAAGTTGAAGAAGCGACCTACACATGTCAAACGAAGTTCAACCTCTGTAATCGAGACCATGAACTCACTGAAGCCTGCTCGGACTAGGCCTTTCAAACTACCAATCTTTCGTTCTACCCATGTTCATGTGGATGACAACGATACGGTGTCTACCAACGAGGATGATATCGAAGAACGGAAAGCCGATGATCGGGAGAACCTGTTACCTGCCATGGAGCTGCGCACGTCCAAGACCCGTTCTGAGAACCTCTCAACGGCGAATCCTATATCTACAAGGCCCCAAGAACCAAAAGCTCGCCCCAGTTTCACACTCACACGATCACGCTCCGATACGCGCACACGCCTCGCCAACATCCTTGAACATCCAGGAACAGTCGGTCGTGGTGGTCTGCCTGTCACATCCCTTGCCCGCCTCTCTCCTTCTCCGTCTCGCGAGCCATCCCACAGTCGTGACCGTTCCGACCAGCGCAGTAACAGCCGCCACTGGTCAATCTCCGACCGCAAGAACTCCCAGCCCAGCACCACCTCAACTATCACCCGTGCCGACATCGCGCGGACACGCGCCCTACTTCTTTGCACAGGTATCAAGGCCCGCGAAATCACTCGCCGTGCCCATGTCGTTCGTGACGAACCGGCGCCATTCCTCCGCAAAGCCATAGCGGCGGCCTCCAAGGAGTGTGGCTATGATACTCCTCGCGTACCACGCATGCAGGAACATGTTCTTGCCGCTCGAATCCTATCTGAGCAATTATCTGGCCGTACGGCGACCCTGCGCACCGAGACGTCGCTTTTCAAAGAGACACATATCGAGCCATTACACAAGCAATTACTGGCGTTGCGTGCTCTCTTACATGATGAGTTGGCACCCCAAATCAAGAATGCCGGGGCTGATGCCGAGACGTATGCGTCAAGGCTGAGTCGCACATATCCGCTGGAGACGAAGACAGTAGTCGAGAGGGCAGACATTTTGGTCAGAGCAAGACGGAGGAAGGGCAGATGGTTAAGACGGGGCGGATGGGCGCTCGTAGAGTATCTGTTGCTGGGCGCGATGTGGTGGCTGTGGTTGTTGGTAACGGTGTGGCGAGTCGTGAGGGGTATCGTGGGTGGAACGGGGAGAGCGGTTAGGTGGGTGCTATGGTTACCATGATTGTATTTGCCGGACTGGCGATTTCATTTGTAATGTGGCATATAGCGTGGCGTTGAACTGGGTTGACGGATTCTTGTAAGGTATTGTTCATTCGAGTGAAGTCCACACCAAGGGATATTCTGCATCATACTATATATGTACAACGTGCTTCCTGTGTACCTAGCTTTAGATGTCCGAAATGGAAGGATAATCACGAACGACACTCACGTCTTTCCAGGAACACTATGCGTTCAAAGACACTCGAGATATATGACGCGACCTGGACTTCAATGAATACATGATTGTATCTATCCTGAACTTACGCCAGTACGCGCTATACATTGTTACGCCCCTCCATCAGGCAGGTGTATGTGTATTCTATGGTGAGATGTAGTAATGTACATAGTGAGCACAGCATGGTAGTCAACTCGATTCGCACGCCACGCATACTATTGCACCAAGCCAACTAGCTCAAGCGGAGTCAGAAATCTTGGTTGGAGCAGTGCGTCCGCAATCAGTGAGTGCAATTGGTGTTTCCATAGCCCCCAAGCGGGCGAATTTCAAATGTGCAGGTCTACCCATGTTTGCGACGGCATGCCACTGTTGGATGAGGCTAAAAAGTTGAGACCTGTGCGTCTCATCGGCGGTTCTGCCCCGGCTTGGTTCTTGGTCCTACTCAATTTGCTTCCAGGGAACTTTATACTAAAGGCATGCCGGACTGTTGTTCTTATGTTTACAAAGCTGTTCTTCAAGGTGTGAGGACGAGCTGAAACTGAGAGAATGAGCTGTCGCTGTGGCGAGCTTGATGATAGCTGGACAATGTTTGGGATCCATGTTTGCGCGCGGTTCGCGAAACACTCGCGGACGGTATTTGTGGACGTCGCCCCCCAAGTGAAGATATCGGTGAAGATATCCGCCCCCGGGTGAAGATTTTAGCCCCCATTTGAAGATATTAGCCCCCCGAGTGGAAATAACAGCCCCAATCGTGCTTGACTGCAATTTGCCAATCACGGTACTTGCTCCCCGAACAAGAAGCATCGAGCTAAGCCTATCTTGGGCTCTGATATATACATGGTCCACGTATCACTGCAATCTCGGCCGATCAGACGGAATGCATCGCTGCTGTGGTGAAGTCTGAGAAATATAAGAGTTTGCATGTATCAGGCTCAGCCACCGCCCGGCGAGTGTGGAAGATCCCTTCTCCTGCTTTCTTGGTAGTTTGAGTACTTCAGATTGCTATAACCTGCTGCTTGGCGATCATCGACACTCTCGACCTTGTTACTTACAGCTCACGGTCACCATGATGTTGTTGCGGTACCATAACGTGTTTCTACCGGTCCTGATGGCCACGACGGTGGCTGCCAGTGCCATATATCCCGCTCAGGCTGTCGGCCGCGCTCCTGCCATCACAGACGCTCCTGTACCTAGCTTTATACCTCGCCATCTACAAGTCCGGCAGGTCATGACAACGAATACGAATGATCCGGAATCGAGACCGGATTTTGTGGGATGGTACCAGACAGAGACTGGTAGGTTGACGCCGCACTGCGGATGGGATGAGCACAAGGCTGACATGAATGAAAGATCAAGCACAGTATTGCGATGCAGACCAAACATGGACATCGAGTGGGAATTATGGTCATTGTTGCGCAACAACATCGTCGAGTTGCGCACCGAGACTACTATGCCAGTCACAAACGCTCATGCTTGATGCTGCCGGAGTAACATGGACCTGGTGCGTAATGAAGCATGTCCCGAAAAAGTGGAATACAGCTGCTAATACCCCATCAGCCCGTCTAGCCTCCAGTGCGGAACTGTGACAGTGTTTGATCAGTGGCCAAAGTCGAACGCGAAATCTAACGTGGTCTGCGCCAACGAGAATTGGTCTGCATGGACGTACGTGACTCCCCAAAGAAGATAGTAGCATCATGAACCTCCCAACTGACACATCGCACAGCATGTACCGCCACATCTCCACGACAGACTCCTCATCAGCACCCAACACAATCGGGGCAGGCACCCTTTCCGAGGGTCAAGCAGCGCCCCTATCTCAACCCTCCGGCACCGCTTTCCCGAACGACAACTCCGACACCACCACCTCTAGTGACAGCAAAGCGTGGATCGCAGGCGCTGTCATTGGGCCTATCTTCGGTCTCGCGCTCATCGGGGGCATTGCGTTCTTGCTGTGGCGGCGCAAGAGGAACGCCTCCTCGCCCATCGAGTCACCGAAAACCTACGCACAGCCGGACGTGGGCAATATCGTCACGCACGAACACCACACAGATTACAAGCCCGAGAAACCGTATGCGGGATACTACGGACAGGCAGGATATCAGGGTATGTCGGAGGCAGATTCGACTCCGGTGCAGCAGTCTCCGGTGCCGCAGGAGCTGCCGACTGATGGCCATGGGTCACGGTAGTAGTATGGCATCCTGGAGACGAGGAAGTGCAACATAATGATTACTATTGTGCTCTGGATCGAGAGACCTCGGATGCATGACAGTGGCGCATGGGATGTCGAATATCTTTATTCCATTGCATACAACGAGTAAGTGAGCGATTGGGGAACGAGAGACTATGTCGATGTAGCTTTTTGAGATATCTTGCTGCTATATGTTCAGTCAATAGCGTGTGTATCGGCGTTATCCATGAATATACGTGTTTTGATGACATGATACGACGGACTTACTTTCCCGGCAGTGAGTGGTAGTGCCACATACACGTCGCATCAACGAGCTGGATGACGCTGCACTATGTTATGGAATGTAGCGCAGCATTAATCGACCACCTACGCGCTGTCTTCCACGCGAAAGCCTTCTGGAAACATAACAACACTGGCAAAAGAGGAGCCGAAAGCCACAGTCCCGAGATCCGAGATCCGAGTTGCCCACTGCTAATTAGCGGGGCAGCGGGGACTCTGGATATTCAATGGCTAAGTTATAACCCATGCCATACTACATTACTAGTAGAACTATTAGGCAATTAATGATACACGCTGGGCTGACTTTAGGGCTGACGGGATGGACCTGGCTGAGCCAAGCTTGAACCCTAATCCTAATAACTTCTCCATCACGGCAGTTGTCAAGTCATTCTGATTCGGCCATTTGACACGTCGTCATGGCCCTCTTTCATCGACTGACTACTAACTTCTATCATGCACTATCATGTATTTGAAGCCTCTTGTCGGATACAACACCTCTTCCGTGTCTACATTCCTCATTTGTTGACATCTCCACCACGGCAGTTGCTTTCCCTCTCTTTCCAATAATTCATACACACTCGCTTCTCACTTCTTATTGCTATTCACTCCTAAAGTCCAATTATCTTCCCATCTGTTGTCCCGTTACGTCCTCCTCTTTCAATTGTATTCCACACCTGCCTAGGTATGACGCTGCCTACGGGTATCTACCGAGCGGACCACGTAGGCTCTTTCCTGCGTCCACAGCCAGTCCTTGCTGCCCGTGAGAAGGTTACTGATGGAACACTTGGGTCCAACGAGCTTCGCGCCATCGAGGACGAGCATGTCACGACCCTCGTAACCAAGGAAACCGATGCTGGACTACGGTCAATCACAGACGGTGAATTTCGCCGAGCATATTTTCATCTCGACTTCCTCAAGCACCTTGACGGTGTTCAAGTTGAGGGCTATATCGCGTCCAGCAACACCATACGTGACGGCTGGACACCGCCGCGTCTCGTCGTCAACGGCAAGCTTGGCCACTCCAAGCCCATCCAAATTGATGACTTCAAATTCCTTGAGTTGGCCATCAAGAAGGCGGGCGCGACTAACGTGACCACCAAAGTCTGCATCCCCTCGCCGACAATGGTCCATTTCCGCGGCGGCCGTGACAGCATCTCACGGGATGCTTATCCGGATCTCGAGCCTTTCTTCGAAGATCTTGCTCGTGTGTACCAAGAAGAAATTGATGACCTCTACAAAGCCGGCTGTCGCGTCGTACAACTCGATGACACGAATCTGGCCTATCTATGCGACCCGTCCATGCGTGAGGCCGCTGAGAAGCGTAACGAGGACCTCACCACGCTGCCGAAAAAATACGCACAACTTATCAACAGAGCCATCTCCAAGCGTCCAGCAGACATGACTATTGGGATCCACCTATGCAGAGGTAACTACCGGTCACAGTGGTTTGCGTCAGGCGGCTACGAGCCTGTAGCCGAAGTACTATTCAAAGACCTGAATGTCGATGCCTACTTCCTCGAATACGACGATGCGCGCTCGGGCGATTTTGCTCCGCTGCGTCATCTACCAGAGCACAAGGTTGTGGTGCTTGGCCTGATGAGCAGTAAGAAGAACACTCTTGAGGATGCCGATGCGATCAAGAGGCGGCTGCACGAGGCAGCTACGTACTGCCCGAGAGGGCTGGCGCAGCTGTGTATTAGCCATCAATGTGGGTTCTCTAGTACGAGTGAAGGCAACGATTTGACCGAAGAAGAGCAGTGGGCAAAGGTGAGGCAGGAGCTGGACATTGCGAAAAGTGTCTGGGGCGAGGATCTGTCCCTGTGAATCTGAGGCTACTGATTGATTAATCGAGCCTAGAAATCGTTGCTCATGGATGAAGCCGCTAGAGGGGCTCCAATTGAATCTTTTCCAGCTGTTGTGCATTTGCCAGAACGTTAGCCATTAGCATATCGGCCCGTCAAAGCTTACCTAGGCCACTCGTCTCCAGGATACCCTGACAGGACTTCAGCGGGGTTCGACTATACAAATAAAGCCTCAAGCTTAGAGGCATGTATAAACTAGATTCATTTTATGGTCATAATCGAAAATAACGCGTTGACTAGAGCAGAGGCCTTATATTTAATAGTTCCCTGTTCACTCTCAAGGTCTCTCTCTCACTTGTACGACAATTTATTCATTTATTCTTCTCAAACAAAATGCTTTCTCCCATCCTCCTTGTAGCATTCCTATCTATGCTTTTCATTCCTTCCCTAGCACAGGGCGATTCCACTCCTTCTCGAGCAGCACCACAGCCAGAGTCAGAGCCCAAAGAAATCACCTTTGCGATCCATACGGAATGCAACAAATATCCATTGGTACGACTTGAGATTGAAGAAGCTAAGCGCATGGCCGAAGAAGCCAGAAGCATATTGTCGCAGTCGCCGTCGGAGTTGACAAGCCTCTCAACCGCCAGGTTCAAACTGATCTTCGGTACCAAACCTAGCGAGGACCCCGCGGCTAAAACCAAAGTACTCAACGTCCTCAAAACATTCGCGGCCCTTCGAGAGGTGAACTCCTTTGGTTCCGCAGAGATCCAATTCTACTGCGGCGATAGTCGCTGGGGCAAAATCCCCGAAGTGTCAAAAGAAACGTTCGACGTATTGAAGAGGACGGTTGGGCGGCTTGGCCTTGGCCGCAAAGACCTGGCAGATATGCGTAAAGCCGGAAAACCGCTGTACATTGATCCGCAAGGCATGATGTTCACTACGGAATCCCCAAACTGCAAGGACCCTGACAACATCGCGGAAACCTACACTGGTAACCTGCACCGCTATATACCCAAGCGAGTGCCGGAGCTTCGTGCAACAATCTCACTGTGCAACAACTATCTGGATGACGCGCATGAAGATCCGAAAGCTTTAATTAGTAAAACTATCGTAGGAGTTTTAAGAGACGCAGGACCTCAGAGGGTCTCAGACATTCTGCTAGATGAATTGAGACCGTACATGAGTCCGACTATCCTGCACACTTTATTACATATACCGCATTTTGCGCGTAAGTCTACCCAGTCTGTACACCACCATTTGCAGGGAGAATTGCTCGCTTTTAGCACCTTTTGCTCTTTTTATTTCGGCATATCTCTGGCTCTCGGGTGTTAACGCGGTGATGTAGTGAACAAGATGTCCAGTAAATACGAAAAGTATACCTGGGATGGTGTGGTACAGATGTCCAGAAGTAATCCGCTCGATCATGTCGAAAGCTACGGTAGGTCCTCAATCATTGAGAGTTCTTGCGAGTGTATTTATTATTAACACCTCGTAGTGTTTTTTATAATGTTAGAGTATCTCGAAAGCCTTGGCTTTACACTCGACACACGTAGTAGGCAGACGTTAAAAGAAGGGCGGTTGACGTTGGATCTTCCACATGGGGCGTTTCGGGGCCTTTCTTTGGGCTTGGAGGGTTCTCGGGGGGAAGAAGGCTCTAGGAGGAGGCAGCGTTTCCCAGGAGGGATGACAGGGGGGGAATCGGGATCCCCGGTAGACGATCGTAGGAGGCAGGGTATACGAATACCTCCTTGGGAGCAGTAAATGCTCTGCTGTCACCAGCCGCTACCCACACAGACCACCAGAAAGCCACACAGACCATAACCTTATAGCCTATGCTCTATACATACTGTATATATATATTTATTTATATATACACCGGACCCACCTCCGAGCTCCACTCTACGTTATTACGCCTCATATCGATTGCGCCGTCCCGCACTGTCCTCGTAGATATCCCATACACGCCCCCTTCCCCTCCACTTATTTCATCCATTTGTTTCATCTTTTTGAGAACTCGTCTCTACGGGAGGCCCTAACGGGGTTTTTGGGGTCTTGCGCATTTTTACTTACATGAACAGGCCGCATTCATAATCTGCACCCGCCGCATTTCTCTCCGACACCGTGCGCGTATACGTACACATGGATCACAGACACGCACTTATAGCAGTCTAGCGCGCACAGACACACACGCGCGCGCTCACTTACATACCAAGCGCGAGTCCTACGTTATGGCTTTTGTCTTGCGTAATTGTGACGGAAATAAATGATTGCGGTGGTTTCTAGCATGGTAAATAACATTTTAGTAGACGTAGGTAACAGACGTATAGATATCAAAACATGAAAAATTCTACTGCCGAAGAAAGACTTGAGAATTAATAGTAGTCAAGATATCCCAGAATAGTACATGAATAATCTTGGCACGCTGCGCAAATCCAAGCAATGTAGAAATCCTCCAAGTAATTAATTTCCTAGATCGTATCCAATGGGATACCTAGGGAAAACGGACTCAAGGAAAAAAAAACTTCTATACAGATCCAAAGCCAAGGAATCTGAACAATGAACGCCGGAAAAATATTTTTCTTCATTTACCATAATGATGAGAAAATTTTCTCGGAATGCCTTCTTTAGACAAACTTGGAGAGAGTCGAAGTTTTGGTAGCTATGTGTGTAGGTAGTACCTACCATGCACGTACGCACGCACGTATCCATCCATGGATCCATCGGATTGTTGCGTCCGCGCGCCAAGAAGGATCGGATGAATTCTTAGTGACCTTGGACGGATACACATTTTCAGACGAAGCAAGCCAACCAGTGACAGATCCAATGACATAGCACGCACATCCCTGTTCCCATACGCCGTAGACAGTAGACTCGGCTAAATGCTACGTGCTTTGCAATTTCTCTTTCCTTCTTCTTTCTTGTGTGGATGGCGTTTGTTAATTTGCTGTGGTCTTGAACTCGTCATGCACCTCAGCACGGCACGATGATATGATTTCGCGTAGGGAGGGGGTTTTATATGGGTGTGGTTTATATGGGTGTGGTTTATATGGGTGTGGTTTATATGGGTGTGGTTTATATGGGTGTGGTTTATATGGGTGTGGTTTAT